TCACTGCTCATCGGAAAAGTCACAACACTTTGGAAAAGTCATAACTCATCGGAAAAGGTACAACCCTTTGGAAAAGTCACAATCCTTTTGAAAAAATCACAACCCTTCGGAAAAGTCGCAACTCATTGAAAATGTCACAACCAATCAAAAAAGCCACAACTCTTTGGAAAAGTCACAACTTTTTGAAAAAAATCACAATTTTTAAATGTGAAAAGGTATATACTTTTAATATAATTAAATTAATAAATATAATAATTTGAGTATTTTTAATTGAACATTTGAAGAGAACAACTACATTTTATATTTTCACATATGTTGTAAGTTTTTTTTATAAAAAACTCGAAACATTTTAAAATAATATATTTTAAAGTTATAAGATCTTGTTAACTTGATAATACATTTGTGACATATATAATACTTTAACTTAAATGCAAATACATACCAAAATATAAATATATATTTGCATTAATGAAAATATTTATCTCATAAAATTAAATTTTAAATAAATAATAAAAATTAAACTAATACAAACTTCAACTGACGTTATTACAAGTCATATAAACTTTTCTTCGTCTAAAATACTGAAATATTAAGAAATAGTAAATCAGTAAAACAAAAGGACAATGTTTATATAGTAATAACTATTTTGAAGCAAACTTCATGAGAGTTTAAATCACATAAGTAGCATTGATAAATAAAGTCATTCTTTTGTTTTGAGCATCAAAAACAAATCGTGACAATTCTCTAAATTTTGGAAAAGATATTCAGAAGCATATAAGTACATCTCAATAGAAATTGTTGACAAAAACAAATGAATTTAGACTAAATCATATTAACTTCATATATTGAAACATTACATAGTAATGTATATATTAAGCAAAAAAAATAATTATTATATTATCAAAATTATTTTCCTCAAGTACTCGAGGTTATGGAATATAACCACTTAGGATAGAACGACTTACTTCATCAGAATAGTGGTATCTCATATTCTGCTAAACTTTGAACTCACTCAACAACAATAAATCACACAAAAAAATTTTAAAATCCAAGAAGAAGATTAGAAGATTAAAAAATTTGTGGTTGAAAAATGAGAGGAAGTTCCTCTATTTATAGTCAACAAAGGGTAGTATGAACAAATGTTTTTTGTGTCTTATCTGAAAAGTCATGACCTTTTCGAGAAGTCACAACCCTTTGGAAAAGTCACAACTTATTGTAAAAGTCACAACTCTTTGGAAAAGTCACAACTCATCGAAAAATCACAACCCTTCGAAAAAAGTCACAACTTATCGAAAAAGTCACAACTCATTGAAAAATCACAACCCTTGAAAAAAAGTCACAACTTATCGAAAAAGTCACAACTCATCGAAAAATCACAACCCTTGGAAAAACGTCACAACTTATCAAAAAGGTCACAACTAATCAAAAAAGTCGCAACCTAAGTTAGAGATATTATAGTAATTTAACATTCAAGTTAGGAGTTCATGCTTTTAAGGTAACTAATTTTTACGCACGTGATTATCAAATCATGCACTACACTATTTTTAAAAATAATGTGAATATTATTTAATAAAAATATTAACTAAACAATTATAAAATGAATGATAAAGTATAAGTTCCTATGAATAGTGGATGTAAATTTTCTTATGATTACTAATGAAAGATAGTCACTCTTAAAATCTCTTAGTTACACCTCTTAAATATATTTTCTCCTCCATCTCCCATAGTGCATTACTTAGTTATTATTATATTGTTGGAGTTCTTATTTTTAATATAATATAATATAAATAAATATTGATATAAAATATAGAAGATTTGTTAAATTGGATGTTTTTAGTTGGAGTACTATATATTAATTTAACATTCATGTGAGGGAGTGTTCTAATTTCACTAAACTTTGAGATTGTCAACGTCTATAAATCAACTTTGAGTTTTTAAGAAGAGAAGAGTTAAAAACATTAAAAAATCATAGTTCAAAAATGTGAGAAAACCCCTCCATTTATAGTTAACAAAGTGTTGTATGAGCATGTGCATATTTTTTCTTCTCATAAAAATCACAACCCTTCAGAAAGGTCACAACTCATCGAAAAATTCACAACTCTTTGGAAAAGTCATAACCATTCATTGTGAAATGGTGTCTTCTTTTAATATAATATAATATAAATAAATATAATATAAAATATAGAAGATATACTAAATTGGGTGTTTTAAACAGAAGAAGAACAATGAAAAACTTTTTTAAAAAGTGTAGTTTAAAAAATTGAGGAAACCCCTCATTTTATAGCCAACAAAGGGTAGTGTATGAAAAAGTCATAACCATTCGAAAAGGTCACGACTCATCGAAAAAGTCATAACTCTTCGGAAAAGTCACAATCCTTCGGAAAAGTCAAAACCCTATAGAAAAGTCGCAACCCTTCGAAAATGTCACAACTCATCCGAAAAGTTATAACTCTCTAGAAATGTCACAACCCTTCAATGTGAAAAGGTGTATGACCTTAATATAATATAATATACATAAATAAATATAATAAAATATACAATATAGAAGATATACTAAATTTGGTGTTTTAAGTTGGGGGTATTATAATAATTTAACATTTAAGTTAGGTAGTTTATTCTTTTAAGGTAGTATATAGAATAGATAGATAAAAAAGATAGATATAGATTTGTCTAATTTTAATTTGATATTAAATTTTAAAAAATAAAGAAAACTTTAATTCAAGGATATGTAGAATATATAAAAATGTCTTTTAACTTTGTGGTGTTAAAGATGTGCCCCCACCCCCAAGAAAAATAACATTTTATATTAAACTGAATAAAAACTAAAGTACAACAAATAACTTGGAAACAGAGGAGTACTTATTCAATCTAGTTTGAACTCTTCCAATATGTTTTTGATCAAATCTCTTTTCTACAACAACTTGAGATTTTTCACAAATTGAACACCAAGTTGTAGTTTGTGCAACATAAAATCATTGAACTTCTTGTCAAGTAGAAGATGTTGCGAAAGTATATTTATGACTACGAAAATGAGGACATATTAATTATCTAGATAGTCTTCTCTTTTGAAGTTGAGTTATTTCATTCTCCTTGTTGCATCAATTTTTGTTGATCTCTCTATTTTACCCACAAAAATATTGTAATTGCATAATTGAACAACTCTCACAATCTTCCTTGTTTTAAGAAGAATAATAGATAACTTACAAAATTTGTAGTTTAAAAGTTTGAGAAAACCCCTCTATTTATAGACAACAAAGGCTAGTATGAAAAGGAGTTTATCGTGACTTATCAGATAAGTCACAACCCTTAAAAAAATCACAACTTTTCAGAGATTTGATAACTCTATGAAAAAAAGTCACAACCCGTCAATGTGAAAAGGTGTCGGCTTTTAATATAATATAGAGTAAATAAATATAATATAAAATATAGAATATATAATATATTGAGTGTTTTAAGTTGGGGGTATTATAGTAATTTAACATTAAAGTTTGAGAGTTCATGTTTTTAAGGTAGTATATAAAAAAAGTCACAATCCTTCGAAAAAGTCACTACCCATCAATGTGCAAAGGTGTCAGCTTTTAATATAATATAGAGTAAATAAATATAATATAAAATATAGAATATATAATATATTGAGTGTTTTAAGTTGGGGGTATTATAGTAATTTAACATTAAAGTTATATATATATACACTTGATACTACCAAGGTATATATATAACCTAATGGTATCAAGGAGTAACTGAGTAGTATTTTTCACTGAATCAATTTTTAATACCATCAGAGTATACATATATTCTCAAATGATATCAAAGAGTAAATTAGTAGTTTTTTCACTGAAGTGACTTTTTCTTCCTTGATGTCACTACAGTATATATGTACTCGATGGTATCGAATATCGAATGACTATTAAAGCTAAAGTTGTGTCATAAATAATAAATATAAAATAACATTAAAATGATAATTAATGAAATAAAATATATTATTCAAGTAAAAATTCCTTTCTAAAACACAAAGCCCACTATAAAGAAATCATTTTAGTGTATATTGAATGAAGAGTATATTTTAGGTTTAGCAAACATAAAAATCATATTAGCGTTTTATAGCTACAATTTGTCTATTTGCACTCATAGAAAACTATATTGCTATGAAGCATCAAATTTATATAAAATCACAGGCAGTATTTGACTATATAAAATCGCAGGCATCTGATTTGTATAAATCGTGGCGATTTGTATAAATTAGGTGTTTGTGTATATGAAAATTGCGTTTGTATATTTATATGTTCTTTGTTTTTGTATATCTGCATAAAATTTGAATTCGGATTAAATTGAATCGAGTTAAAACAATTGTATTTGTATATCAAATCTCTTTTTGCTTTATACAAACACAAATTATACATTGCATTTTGTATAATTTGTGTTTGTATAAAGCGAGAAAGAGAAAGGCAAAAGAAAATTGAGCAGAGGAATATTTATATTTGTATAGTTATAAGTGTATAGGACGTAGAAATATGCATACGTATTTGTAAAACATTTCTCTCTCGATTTATACAAACACAAATACAATCTATACATTTGTTTTTGTATAAAGTGAGAGGCCAAAGAGAGTGGCGAGCGAGTTTCAAGAGAGAGAGGCAAATGTCAAAGTATTTTTTACGAATTAGAATTAAATGAAACTGTAATTATAGCATTTATTTTGAATTAATAGTTTGTTAAATTGTTGATACTTGTTTTCGATATTTAATGGAATTCTTCATTACTTTATATTTCTTTTAAAAATAGTTTGGAAATAATGAAAAGGATAATTTATTTGCTTAAGAGTATGATAATAGTTTTGGCTATTCTTTTTTTTTTAATGTAAAATAAAACATGAGAATATTTTTTGTAAACTAATTACTATTATTTGAAAGCATCCGAATATGTTTTTTAATCCTAAATAGCTGAAAAGATGAATCCTGAGTTAATGAAAGAGAAATGATGATGAAAAAAGAATATTATGCGAAGAAAAAGAATCAAAACTAGAGCGAGCTTCTGCCTTGTTTACATGGATGCCAAAAGCCCCCGCATTTCTGAGATGGAAGGGATGCTCTCCGTCGGGTAAACCTTATTTATAAGTTGGACAAAACTCTCATACTTCTCCAGGAACTCCTTCTGCAAATTTATCATAAAATCAAACACAAATACTACAATGGTGCTCACAGATGCAGCAACACGAAAAAATTAGACCAATATACCTTGCATTTATCCCATAGAGAAGGCAACAACTCCTCCGACGCTAAGTTCTTCTGCAATCTCTTATACATTGTGCTGATCGACTTATCCACCTGTTAAACCAAAATTTATCATTCTCTTTAACAAACAAACCCAAATCCAGTACATCAATTCATTGACTTGACTTACCCCAGATAAACTGTATTTCACCACCTTCCTAAGATCCGCTTTTGACAATCCAATCTGGAATGGAATCTAATAAAGATGCCACACTTCATTAGCACAAGATGATAACGAAATATAGGGGTGTTTGGGTAACAAACAAGGTATTCTAGTCCTGAAACTAGTAATGCAAGGATTAGGGAGGTGGGAATTATTTTTTATTTAGTGGTTCGTTCATTGTATTAAATATTCGATATATAATGTATAACTTAAACTTGTGTTTGGTGTAAAACTGTACAAAATTTTGTTTACAATAACATCCTTGGACTTTTGTAGGGCTATTGAATTCTTATAACTCAATACAAATAGCAGCCAAACTATACTGGTATTATTTATACGAAACTAAAATAGCAACCAAACTTTATACAAATCAATACTGATTTGTATACCTGGATTATTTACCTCAATACTGACAACCAGATGTCCTAAAAGGCTAAGTCATAGTCAATTGGGTTTAACCTAAAAGTTTGATGCACAACTAAGGAACAAAAAGGATGCAACATCGAGCCACTTGGTTCTAATAAAGAGGCTAAAGTAATGGTAAAAATCATAAACGTTGTTTATTGGTCATTACTTCAAGCCTATATGTACTCCCAAGACAGGCGGCAGCGGAACTCAAAACCTTAAACAAGGAACAAGTCTAACTGGAACATTTGGCATCAGATCATCTTCTATAAGATATACTGAGTATCCTCTGTACTGTCATTAAGGCACTCATATATACCTTTGCCATTTATTCCTTCTGTGCTTGAACTGAACTTTCACATCAATCAAATGATAGATATAGCCATTTTTTTCATTTGATTAGTACTGATAGACTTATTCTTATCTGATCCAAGTTTTTCGTCTTTTCGGTAGTTTTTATTTTAAGCAATTGTAACAGAGATATTTTAAATAGTAGGACATCAGTCGTTTTATATCAAATTTAAACAATAGAGATTGTTCTGAGACACCAGTTGCATCCAGCTTCAAAGTTAGTAAGAGAGAATTGCATGACACAATTAAAAAGAACTATTGAACTACAAGGTTCAACCTGTCTTCCCACCAAAATGGAAAAGAGAGAAAAAGACCAAAAAAGAAGACATGGAATTTTAAACCGATAATGAATGTGGTTGCATCATTTCTCACATGCAATTCATCACAAATGTTCAAATGTCCAAGCAAAAATAATATTTTCAATCCAGAGTTTTATTTTGGTCATATATTCTTTCAGTTGCTGTACGGAGAAGTTCAACAGAAGTAAAATTAATCAAATAAAGATTTAAGACTACACAATTTTCCTTAATTTTGATAGAAATCGTGTACTGGCACAAATTAGCAAGTTATCTAGTATCAGAGCATTGTCAAGACACCATCCTCGTACAAGGCAAATTAAGATACTCTGAAGTGATGGGCAGTCTGCAAATATCAATAGCCTGAGGAGTTCAAAAGAAAAAGGAACTAACCTCTTCTGGTGTAATCGTGTACATCAAATCCTCGATTCTTCTAGCAAATTGAAAGAGTCGCTCAAATTGCTGGGAGAAAGCACAGGTTCTAAGGTATCTCATCAGAGAGAGTAAATAAAGTAATAACACTGCAAAAGCATAGTAAGGAAATATTACACAACCATGAAGCATGAAATAGGATAACTTACATAGTAGATAATTGTGTTGATGTGGCGTGTGCAAGCCTGTTCATAAGATTCACTTGCTTGGTGATAGAATTTTGCTAAGGTTGGCACGACATTAGCCAGGTCATATAGACTGCACAACTGTTTCAATCAGCACTAGAAGCAGATTTTGTGGTACAATAAATATATTTCTGAACCCAAAAGTGAACAATACCTATTTTGAAATGATGCATAGTTTTCTAAAAGCATGATATCTTGATATTTCAGGTCTGTTTGAGCAATTTTGTCCAAAGTAACAAACATTATAGTGACCTGCCAAATAATTAACAATCGAGCCACAAAATACAACATACATAAGGCAACAAATATAACTAACCACCACAAATTAAGAAATTAAACTCACTGCACCTTGAAAGAAAAAAGAGTTCTGCAAGTATTTCCCAATTCACACTCAGCTTACTTTTATTTTCTATTATTGGATATTTAAACAGTATAAGTCACTGCATTACCTATCACAATACTCCCATCAGGAAAAAAATGGTAAAACAAGAGAACCAGTAACACATATTATGTCATTCTAACATTTTCAACTGTTCATTTCACAGCTTAATGGTCATTGTAATGCATTAAGAAAACAAGTGCAAGACAGAAGCACTCACAAACTTTGTGTATGCCTGATCAACCAAATCCCTTGATTGTCCTTGAATGTACTGCTCCATACGGGTTGCAAGGGTGGCAAATCTAGATGAAAAATCATACTCCCAATGAAATGATTGACAAGTTAGGCCGAAATAAATACTTGAAAGCATTCTGAGACAAAATAAGTACAAATTCTGATTTTGAGGCTGAATTACTGAAAGGCTTACTGCCTGTAGTTGTAAATAAGGTTATTCAAAGAGTCGTTGAAGGGATTTTACAAGGCTCAGACCTATAATAAGCTCACAGCATAAAAGCAATAATGAAGCTAATCAACTGTAACAAAGAGGTAACAGCGACAAGGCAGAAACCCACATTTCATAAATACTAAGGAAAATTTCAGGCACTATTCAATTGGGGGACATAAAATATAAAATGGTATACTCTTGCTCCTATGTGATAAAGAGAAATCAGCAGAAAATAATAGAAATAACACAGGCAGGCAAACTTTCATTCAAATTTGGAGGAACTATTTGCGTGTATACATAAAAGAGCCGTAGAAAATCAATCAACTTTTCATTTCCATACTGGGGAGGGGAAGAAATAATATCCTCATGAAAGAACTTTCACATTATACCATTCATAGTGAGACTAATCTCCCAATGAAGTAAATACGGGAAAAGGGTTATAATGTAGCATACTAGCATATCTAAACCTGTTGCACTAATTAGATTACACTCAAAATGGGAGGACAGATAAAAGTAGAAAGCTCTTAGTTTAGCGGCTGAAGTTTAATTTGACAATCTCGACTTACTTCCATTAACAATAACTATGCACTTCCAACTCTATCTAAATACAAACATAATTTGAACCATTATGACAGTAAATCTAATCCAAAGAACTATGGAAGTAAACAAAAAACATAACATGAAACTCAGTTTACCTCGGTATGAATGATAAAACTCCCAACTGTCTAACATTTCGCTCATTTCTTTCAATTTGATGGCATGTCTCCTCCACAAACTGCAAAGTTCAGGGAAAACTGAGAAAATTTCATCCCTTTTGAACTGCAAAATATAGATGGCTATGAGGGATACAGTAGCTCACACGGCTGAACTGCATTGAAATTCTTGATTCCAAGTCATCAAGCAAGATACGCACAAATCCTGCTGTATCAGCCTTCTGATCAGGAATATAACGCTCCGTGATTCCATGCATTGATATGCAGCACATAGGATCAATTTTGCCTGCCCAATCCACCACAGCAAAGAAGTCTTCCTGAAGCACATAAACAGGTAAAGATAATATTATCAGTGATATTCTTTTTATAGTTTTGTTTCGTCAGAAAAATATGAAAGATCTTTAGTTAAGTGAAACAACAATCCAATCAACAACTATGCCCATGAAAAAGAACCACGCTATTGTGGCAATCATAAATTCCAAACCACAATGTATGAGAAAATGAGAGAGGGGGCAGAAAAAAAATGAGTATCAAAAGAACATATAAAACTTGACAAAATAGTCCAGTGCTAATTCCTCATGATAAGGACAAAAAATTATGTTAAACAATGCAACAAAAAGATCAGCGGACTTGGTTTACTCAAGGGCCTGCTTCTCTGTGGCACATAAGGAAGCAGTGGTACAACATAGAGGTCCAAAGTCCATCTGCTAAGATCAGGTACAATGGCATTGACACAAGAAAAGAAAAAAAATGTCAAGCAGTCTGCTTGATGAAGCAAAATAGATATTCTTGTTCCTATTTACAAAAATAATTTTCAAATTCTACAGGACAACTAAGGTAGTAGCATGGAATTGATAGTAACATAAGCTATAGTCCACCAGATAAATTATCAACACCACAGTGATTTGAAGATACAGATATCATAGAATGCATATCCAATGAATAATAAATGAACTAAACACAGACAAGACTCTGATGTAGTCTTGTATTCAGCATCCATATTAAGTGAAACTTGAGAGGTCTTCCTCACTCTATTAACCTGACCTATTGTGTCATCTCTTTTCTGTTTCAATAGCACTGATGTTTGAGTATACAAAGAATCGGATAAAGTGTACATTAAGCGTCTCAAAAATCAAACAAATTATGCACTAAGGAATGTCCTCTTTGCACCAAACAGGAAAAATCAAACAAGAAAGAATAATCGGCACTTAACAAAAACTTTTGTTATTAGAAAACAAGACTATTGTAAGGGAAAACTGTAACATTACTTGGATTCCATCAAGCAAATCATGTAGTGATTCATTTAGTGCCTCTAGATCTGCAGAATTCTGTCCTGCAAAATAGCAAGATGGTGGTCCTTGATAAATTCCAAGCAGGACAAGGCAAGAGCAGAAACCAGGAAAAATTACCAGATTTATTGTCATTCTCATCTATATCCATGATGTCTAAATCATCATTCATATCATCTCCAGCTTTGTTTCCATTGGCAACACCTTCTGGTGGAAGCAGTGTTGGAACTTCAAAGCACATAAAGTGTGCAAAGAAAGAACTCTGGGATTTGGAAATTTAGAAAAAAAAAACTGATGATACACGTTGGGTAGAGAAAGCAACATAGACATTCATACGCATATATACCAGGAAAAAAAAGAAACTAGAAGAAAACCTCATCGACAAGGAGTGGGATAAATATTGTGAGCATTTTAGCATATGCCTCAGAGGCTGCAGACGTGTCTGCATTATTCACGCTCTGATTCAAACCTGTCAAACCTTCAAACCACACAATAGGATTTTTGGATGCCTTTGTACTGGAACGAAGCTCATTTGCAAACTCACGAGCCTGGAAAGAATAGCAAACATAAGCATTGTTAGAATAGTAATAGGTATATACAATTCTACTTAGAATATGACTAGTAATAGTAATAGTAATAGGAATAGTATATAGTGTCCTAATTAGAATAGGATTGTATTGTAGTGTCCTAATTAGAATAGGATTGTATTGTAGTGTCCTAGTTGGAAAAGGAGTCTATTGTAGTGTCCATAAATATAGTCAGTAATAATGTAGAGACAACAATTCAATAATAGCTTTTTCCAATATTTCTCACATGGTATCAGAGTTTCTACGATCTTGGTAGAAAATCAAAGAGCTTCCATAGCTAGCGGGTGGCTATTACTAGTATATGCTGCCCATCTGGTCAATGATTATGTTAGCAAAAGTTGGGTCACCGTGTATCTTTTTAGTGACTACTTTTTCATATTTAATTTATGTAGCACCATGCCATATTTTCGATGACTACGTTCTTATATCTAATTTGTGTAGCACCGTGCCATCTTTCCGATGACTACTTTTTCATATATGATTAGCATAGCACCGTGTCATCCTTCCGATGACTACTTTTTCATATTTACTTTGTGTAGCACTGTGTCATCTTCTGGTGACTACCTTTTTTTGCATATCTGATTTGTGTAGCACCGTGCATCTCTCCGGTTTACGTTTCATATTTAATTTGCGTAGTACTGTCGATTTTTCTGAACTACTTTCTCATATCTGAGTCGCATAGCATCGTGTGTCTTTTTCAGTTACTCATCACATTTGATTTGCATAGTTCCATTCGTCTTTCCGGTGACTCCTCAAATCTGATTTGCGTAGGGTTGTGCCATCATTCTGACCCTACCCATATAATTTCTCTTTTTCAGTAGGGTCTTACCATCATTCTGACCCTACCCATATTATTTCTCTTTTTCAATAGGGTCGTGCCATCAATTCGAACTTTCCTATGTAATTTCCATTTTCTAGTAGGGTCATGCCATCATTTCGACCCTACCCATATAATTTTATTTCTTAGATTGTGACAACTTTTAGCCATCAAATCTAATACTCTGGTGTATGAACATATTTCAGCCAATTTTTCGGTGACTTTCTTGTTTAATATCGACTCATCTATTGATTTCAACACTATCCATATACTTTATACTAGATTTTGAGCACTTTCTGGCGACCGTTGCATTGTGAAGAAGTCTATATAGAGCAACCACCTAATTTTGTTGCTCAGGAGGAGTTTAGTAGCCTTGTATGTCAATTGTGTAAGTCATTCTATGGTCTGAAACAGTCTGCAAGTTTGGTTTGGGAAGTTCAACACTGTAATTTATCACTCTTTGTTTTATCAGCATTATGCATCAAATCCTGTATTTTATGAGAAGACTAAGCAAATTAATTGTTGACTGTCAATATTGTCAAGTCGAGTGATCAACTTGCAGATATTTCATCAAACTCCTCATCGGTCCTCGTATTAATTACATTTGTAACAAGCTAGATACATATGATTTGTATGCACTAGCTTGAGGGGGAGTGTTAGAATAGTAATAGGTATATACAATCCTACTTAGAATAGGATTAGTTGTAAGTTTTGGTACCAAAATTGTACAATCTTATTCATCCATAGAGATACATATTTATAGTATAGAAAACTGACTAGCTAGCTATCAGATCCCTTGATTCTGGCAAATTTGAGAATCAAGGGATGATTTTATTGATCTAATATCCTAACCTATTGAATAGCAAATCAGATATGATTTTATAAGATCAATTTAAATCCTACAAAATCATATATGATCACACTTAGATATTTACAAATCAACACTCCCCCTCAAGTTGGCATGTAAATATTTGTCATGCCTAACTTGCTTACAAGAATTTAAAACTTTTTGTTTAAACAAGCCTTTTGTGAAAATATCCGCAATTTGCTAATTGTTGTGACGAAAGGCATGCACATGTTTCCTTCTTCAATCTTCTCTTTTATGAAGTGCATGTCCACTTCAACATGCTTTGTTTTGTCATGTTGAGGAGGATTGTGAGCAATACTTATGGCGGCTTTGCTGTCATAGTACAACTTCATTGGTAACACAAACAACTTTTTTAGTTCTTCCATCATCTTCTTGAGCCAAATCATTTCACAGATCCCATGGGCCATAGATCGGTATGCAGCTTCAGCACTGCTTGAGCTACTACATTCTGCTTTTTACTCCTCCAAGTCACGAGATTTCTCCAGATAAAAGTACAATATCCTGATGTAGAGCTCCTATCAAAAGTAGAACCTGCCCAATCTGCATCTGTAAAGCTTTTAATGCCTCTATCTTGACCTTTTCTGAAAAATAATCCTTTCCCTGGTGAACTTTTCAGATATCTAAGAATCATGTAGACCGCTTCTTGGTGCTCTTCTTTCAGAGAGTGCATAAATTGACACACTAAGCTTACAGCAAAAGCTATATCAGGTCGAGTGTGTGATAAGTAGATCAACTTCCCCACTAGTCTCTGATATTGACTTTGGTCAACTGAATTTCCTTCTTTGTTTCCAAATTTTATATTCGAAACAATAGGTGTTTCAGCTGGACAACAACTACTCATGTCTGTCTCTTTCAGAAGATCTAGTACATACTTCCTTTGTGACACCATAATGCCTTCTTTTGATCTTGCTACTTCCATGCCAAGAAAATATTTCAAATGTCCTAAATCTTTGATCTCGAATTCCGATGCCAACTGTGTCTTTAAATTCTTCATTTCGGGCAAGTCATCTCCTGTAAGTATAATATCGTCAGCATACACTTTCCCTCAAGAGAGTGTCGAATGAACATGGTGTGATCTGCTTGCCCTTGAGTGTACCCTATTTTACAAACTGAGTAAATCTCTCAAACCAAGCTCCTGGAGATTGTTTGAGCCCGTAGAGAGATTTCTTTAGCTTACACACTCTAGTTCCATATCTTCAAAACCCGGAGGAGGATCCATGTAGACTTTTTCTTCGAGTTTTCCATTCAAGAATGCATTCTTCACATTTAATTGTTGAAGGGGCCAATCAAGATTAACATCAATGGTCAGAAGAACCCTGACTGAATTCAACTTGGCAACTGGAGCGAATGTCTCAAGATAGTCAATTCCATAGGTTTGAGTGAACCCTTTTGCTACCAAACGTGCCTTATACCTCTCCAAGGACCCATCTGATTTAAATTTGATGGTAAACACCCACTTGCAACCCATTGCAACCCACTATTTTCTTTTCACGTGATAGTTCCACCATTTCCCAGGTTTCATTTCTCTTAAGAGCATTCATCTCCTCTAGAATTGCCTCTTTCCACTGGGGACATTCAAAGTATCTTGCACATTTCTCGGTATCTCCATTCCAGATAATTGAGAAAGAAAAGTTGTATAGGAAGGAGACAAGTTTCTATATGACACAAAATTTGGCATGGGATGGTTTGTGACTTTTCTTACTCATTTACGTTTGGCAATTGGAAGATCAAGGTCTAAAATAACAAAGAGAAAATCAGAATTAGATTCTGGAGAATTACCTTGTATATCAATAAGATCTTGCGGAGTGGACTTTTGGTTCTGATGAGCGTCCTTAATCTCTTTTTCTTGATTCCAGTTTCTTCTCATGTAAACCTGCAATTCCTTTGTTTGTTCCATGTCCTTGTCATTAATTGCATCATGAAAAGACTCTACTGTCTCAGTTTCCTTATTTTCATTATATAAGTTGGGATCTCTTACCTTATCAAGGTTGTTACTACCAAAAGTACTATTTCCCGTATCCATCATAAAAGGTAGATCCTTTTGTTTCTCGCATGTGAGGTCGCGAGAATCCTTACTATCCATTGAATCTTCACTATGTTTCTCCCCCTGAAGATTAGTTCCAAATAATAATTGAGATTCAAAAAAGGTGACATCCATTGTGACAATAACCTCTCTAGTATTTGGGTCATAACACTTGTATCCCTTTTGACTAGGGGCATAGCCAACAAAAATACTTTTTTTAGCACGTGGATCAAGTTTACTCCTATTATGATCATGAACATGAACATGAACAAATACACTACATCCAAAGATTCTCAAAGGTAGATCAGTGGTCAATCTAGAAGTAGGGAAGTATGTCTTGAACATACTAAAAGGGGTTTTAAAATCTAGAACACAGGAAGGCATCCTATTAAAAAGATAAGTGGATGTCAAAAGAGCTTCTCCCCAAAGAAATTTAAGGACTCCACTTGTGAATATTAAGGCTCTAGTTACCTTCATAAGATGCCTATTTTTTCTCTCAGCTACTCCATTTTGTTGGGGTGTATTAGGACATGAACTTTGGTGCACTATTCCCTTGGAAGTGAAAAAATTGCCTAGATGGTCATTAAAATACTCTCCCATTATCACTCCAAAATATTTGAATCTTCTCATGAAATTGTGTCTCAACCATAACATAAAAAGCCTCAAACATATGTTTTACTTCACTTTTGTCTTTCAATAAGTACACCCAAGTTGGTCTAGTGTGATCATCTATGAAACTCACAAACCACCTTTTTCCATTTACATTTGCTACCCAAGAAGGTCCCCAAACATCGCTATGGATTAACTTAATGTGTTTTGTGGCACTGTATTTTTGGGAGTAGAAGAATCAGATTTACTGGTTTGGAGAACTTGGAGAAATTTGTGCAACAGCTCTACTTGTTCCTTAGTGAAAGGTTGCGTTTCTAGAGAAGATTGTAGCTCTGGTTCTTTGCTGGTACACTGAAGGGTCTGACCATCGTTGTCTGCCATTTTTTTGTTCCAGCTAGGCAGTTTCCTATTGATATTCCAACAAGTTTCACAATTGTGCCCATATTTTTTGCAAAAATCACACCACGGCTTCATTGTTGTCTCTTGTCAAAATTGTTAATAGAACTCTCGGCTTCTATTGATGTCGTTGGCTTCTATTTTCTTGACAGCAGTGTTGTTTTAGTTACAAGAATAACCTTGCTCTGATACCATGTAAGTTTTGGTACCAAAATTGTACAACTTATTCATCCATAGAGATACAAATTTATAGTATAGAAAACTAAACTAACTAGCAATCAAATCCCTTGATTCTGGCAGATTTGAGAATCAAGGGGGATTTTATTGATCTAATATCCTAACCTATTCAATAGCATATTAGATATGATTTTATAAGATCAATTTAAATCCTACAAAATCATATATGATCATACTTAGATATTTACAAATCAACATAGCACTTGAACTTCCTATATTTTTGGAGCCAAAAATATCAATCCCGAACGACATATTGTGAATTTGAAAGGATCCGATCGCCAGAAAATTGTCCAGAATCATGAAAAAATGTATATGGTCAGCCTCGGAATTTAGAGGTGATCCCACTGGAAAAAAGAAATTGCTTAAAAAATTGTTTTTGAAAAACACAGGCAAAATTTTTTTATTCGGACAACAATTTAGGTCACCGAAAAATTGCACAGTGACGGCTGATTTAATTTTCTCACCATGGCTCTGATACCATGTGAGAGATATTAGAGAAGAATATGATTGAATTGTTGTGTCTACATTTTACACTGAGACCCTATTCATAGATACTACATTGGACTCCTTTTCCAATAGGATTCCTATTCTAAGTAGGATTGTATATACTTATTCCTATTCTAACGAATACAACTTGTAATGGTCCTAGAACAGACAGGGAAAATATGAGAAAACCTTTTTCATATGTGAATTAAGATTTACTCCTACAGAGGTTCGAGCTAAAAGTGAAACAAGGTTTTAGAGCACACTATAAAGTCTTATTCCTATGCATGAATCAAATAAAATGCAAATCTTTGCTTTAGGTTTCACTAGACAATTAACCCTATGCTAAGTCTTGATTTCAGCACCCTATATGGAGTAAGTTTCAGGAATTTACTCAATCACTTTTGATAGTAAGAGTTATGTGGTCCAATTATCTTTAGTTCCTTCAGCGAATTTTCTAGCATAAAAGGCATTACCAAATTTATTTACACTTGAACTACAAGTTGCTTGGCAGCAAAGAACTCTTGCTCTTGAAAAGGACTCTCACACTCCTAGATCATGAAGGAATGTCTTTGAACTGACAATGTTGTGGTACCCTTGTTCTTCTTTCTATAATTTCTCAATTCCCTTACATCTGTTTTCCATTCTTCTTCTTTCCAATGCTGCTACTCCACTTTAACACCTTTGTTGCCTTTCCTCTCTCTGTGTGTCTCCACAGCTACCCTTTCTCTACAGCTTGTTATTGTTCCAACAGAACAGCTTGCTCTCTGAATTCTTTCTGAGATGCTACTGCAATGATCTTAATGATTTTGCCAGCTAAACGTCCCAACAAAATGTGCTTCTTAAAGTAGACAAATTCATCTTAAAAGAAGGTTCAACCAGCAATTCTTTGATGGGAAAGCTGCTATAGACAAACAGGTGATACATGCCTTTGAGAGTTTGGAGATGAAGAAAACAGATGTCTACCAGCTTAAAAGTGCAAATAACGGCCAGTGAACTTAATAGGCATTTAAGTAACCTACTCAACAGAAAGAAGCAAAAGAAGAAATAAAAGCACAATAAGAGAATTAAAAGACAAATTAATAAAGATAATAGCTTTCTGACCTCCCGGCGCAAAAGCAAGTTGAGGGAGGTACAATAAGCTTTTCTTAAAGGGCCCAAGCAATTCTTGTCAAGACTCTGCAAATGCAAAGGATTGAGAGAAAGACACCAGGAAGTATAAAACAATGCTAAAATTCGACAAGTTGAATCAATCTGACCTTCAAATGCTGCAACAGACGAGCATATGTCCTGCACTTGTATCGGAGATCAGCATGGTCAGGCCTTTTCAATTGCCCACGCTGTTTAATTTATATTATCAGCAGTCTTCAAATAACTATTTTTGGAAAACTCATGACAATTAGTTCAAGTAAAACTGATCTACATACCTGAGAAAAATAACTCTTATCACTCATCATAAAATCCACCAAACTGGAAAAATAGTTTCTCAAGAATTCAGATGCTCTTCGAACAAACGTCGTTTTCAACTTGTCAACTTCTGCTCGTTTTTCTTTCACCTGTAAGAGATTCAGGGATTTCACAGCTAAAAGTTGCTGCATCTTTTACAAGTAATGTACTAATTTTGATATAAGTAACTTTTTGTGTTCAAATGTAGAGATGGCCCAATGCGGCAACGCCTATCCGACGAGTGCTAGAATAGCAAAGACAGGACAACTTGGTTTCACTTCATTCAGTAAACAAGCAAAAAATTTAAAGATAGGACAGTTTGATTTCTACTTTTTCTTGTCCAGTTTCAGTATAGAACATTGGCCCATAAAAAACTTGCAGGAACTTGAATCCAGTACTATCTAGATGCTATGACCGTGTATTTTGCAATAACTCAATCATTCTTATACCAGGCCAGGTCCAACTGTGGATTTCCCAATAATTCAAAACAATTTATTTACTCAAATCACTTCATAGGAACCAGTCATCCAAGTCCTGAATGGGCAAATTTGTACTTAATTTAACATATGCATGCATAGCTACATTAACCTTATCTGTGTACTTTATATGCTGAAGCACAATAACAAAAATGAAGCAAAAAGAAAAGGACAGAAACGAATAAGCAAGTGAACATACAGCTCTCATGTTTGAGTAGCTAGGATCCAATTTAGGTGATTCAAGACCATGTAGAGCATTAGTTAGCCACTCACATGCCTCAATGTTCTGAGGCATTCTTGCCTCTTCAAATGAACCACTTGTTAAACACGCTGCATACTACAAAACCAAGAATGAATATGTGAAGAAAATTAATTTATTAGATGTCACCACGACCTAGCTCCAAGAAAGATAGAGAAACACCTCAGAAGGGATACGTAGTCTTTCAAGAAGCCTATCAAGTTCCTCAATCAATGCCTTGTTGTTTACTGACTGCATTTCCAGCTTGTTGTTGCGGGTTTCTATCTGCATATTGTGAAAGAACCAGTATAGCATTAGCAAAAGAGGTCTACATTCAAATAGTACTTACTTCCTCCATCCCAATTATGTTGTACCGTTTGACTTGGCACAAAGTCCAAGAAAAAAAGGAAGACTTCTGAATGTGGTCTAAAGCTGTTGAAATTTGCTTTCAGTTACTGCAGCAAGTTTTTAGCATAATAAGTTAGTTAGATTTAGGATGAATTTGAATTTTAAATTTCTATTAGGTTGTTTTAGTTGTTGAGATTATTTAGCGTTTTGAATTTTTGTTATGCAGATTTTCTGTTGATTATATTTTCAAATTGGCTATTTAAGCTCTCCTATGCTTAAAAATTATTGAAAGTTTCAACCCTTTTTTGTTGTACCATCTTTTCAAAAAGTGCCAACAGTGGTATATAGTCTCACTGATCTTATGGAATATGTGAGTTCTTAGAAAGAGCTATTTTCAACCCATTTTTAACCCGTCGAGGCTATTTTCAACGCATTTTCTTTTTTTTTTTTTAGATAAGGGTAAACTTTGTATTCACACATAAAATTCATCATTCAATGAATGATGAATTAGAAACTTACAACCCACAGAGTGGTGGGCACACCCCCATTTGGGTACATTTACAAGTTTCCTATGATATCTACCAAATCTACTGCCTCCCCTACGAACTCTTGTTTACACCAAAAAAATAGCAGGCATATACACTTCATCCTAATCTTCAGTATGTTGACTCTCTGATCTTCAAAGCACCTATCATTCCTTTCTCTCCATAAGGTCCACCATATACAAGCTCATATTGTCTTCCACCAATCTTCATATCTCTCTCTGTTGCCAATTCCTGACCATTGATTCATCAACTCCAGGGTTGTCTTGGGCATCACCGAGCTAACTCCAAAAATGCACAAGAAATTGTTCCATAGGCTTGTGGCACTGTTGCAATGCATAAACAAATGACTATTGACTTATGTTTTCCACTCACACATAAAACATCTAGAACATACTTGCCATCCTCTTTTCTGCAGTGCCTCATGTGTGAGGCGGGCTTTTCTGCACACTAGCCATGAGAAACAAGTCACCTTTGGTGGACTTCTAGCTTCCAAGATTTCCTTCCAAGGCCCTGTGTCTGTTGCTCTCTGATTGGAATCGATATTCCAGTAACATGACTTGACTATGAAGTGGCCTTTGCTATGTAATTTCCAGATTGGCTTCTCTGGGCTCATAAAAATACCAGGGCAAGTGTTTAATGTTCCCAGAAGGCTTGCTACTTGTCTGATTTCCCAGCCATTTATTGCTCTCCTGAAGAGTAGGTTGCATCCTTGTTGGCTCCACACCTGAGAGATAGTATCATTTTTCTGCAAGCTCAAAAAGTATAATTGGGGGAATAAGTTTCTCAAGCTGTTCTCCCCTACCCAAACTTCATTTCAGAACGCATTTTTCAGACCATTACCACCACCAATGGAGATGTTGTGGATAAAGTAAGGCCAAAGTCTCCTGATTCTTTTCCAGACACTACAACCAAATGTGCTCATGACTTCTTCAGCTATCTAGTAGCTAAGTAAGCCATACTTTCCTGCTATGTACCTTCTCCATAAGGCCCCATCTTCTGTGCAGAATCTCCATAACCACTTTTGTAGGAGACAATTGTTCTGTTTGCAGAGGTTCCTCAGTCCAAGACCCCCTTGTTCTCTGCTAAGGGTAAGAATATCCCATTTCACCATATTGTAGAATGTAGCCTCTCTTCTGCTTATTCCCTTTCCATAGGAAGGATCTTCTCAATAAATTGATTCTTTTTTATATGCTTTTAGGATTAGGAATAGGAAATAGGCTCATCATGTATGTAAAGATGGATCCTGGGCCTAACTCAACCTCAAAAGCTAGCTTATTAAGGGAGGATTGTCCAAGTCCATATAATGAGACCAAATTCCCATCCCTTTTCCGATGTGGGAATTTTTAACACTCCCCCGCACGCCCAGACCTCGTTAACTGGAGCGTGGACTCTATAATATGGGGGCCCAACATCGATGAACAAAGAAATTAGGATGAGCCTGGCTCTGATACCATGTAAAGATGGATCTTGGGCTTAACTCAACCTCAAAAGCTAGCTTATGAAGGGAGGATTGTCCAAGTCCATATAAGGAGACCAAATTCCCATCCTTTTTCTGATGTAGGAATTCTTAACAATGTATGTAGGAAGACCATCAAGCACTGCTTTAGTAAGTGTAAGTCTGCCGAGGGATAAATACTTACTCTTCCACCTTGATAAAAAAAATTCACATCTTTGTAGCACCTCACTCCATACCTCCAACTCTTTATTTTTAGCACCTATGGCATACCCAAGTATTTAGTTGGTAGTGATCCAATGTGGAAGACCAAGTTTTGTGCTAAGCATTGGAAATTCTCAACCTAATTGATAGGGAAAAGTAGACATGAAGACCAGAAATACCTTCAAAAATAGTTAGAATTTCCCTTAGATGTCTAATCTACAACACCTCTGCTTCACAGAATATGAGGGCATCATCTGCATAAACCAGATGAGTAATTTCCAATTGGTTTTCCCTGCCTGATTGAGCACTAAAATCTTTTATCCAACCATTAGTTTTTGCTATCTTAAGCATATGATTCAGCCCTCTCATTGCAAGTAGGAATAGAAATGGGGACATAGGATCTCCTTGTTTAAGACCTCTATGTGACTAGAAGAAACCCTCGGTATTCCCATTGATAATGAGAGAGAATTTGATACTTGAAATGCAAAATCTTATACCAGTTGCCAAATCTCATTTCCTTTAGAATTTTTAGGAGGAAATTCCAATTAACATGGTCATAGGCCTTCTCAATGTCTAGCTTGCACAAGATGCCTAATTTCTTTTGTTTTACTTTAGAATTTACCAACTCATTGGCCAACAAAGCTGCATCCATTATTTGTCTTCCTTTCAAAAATGTCATTTGGTGTTCATCCACCAATCTACATATTGTTTTTTTTTTTTGATAATGGTAACTTTTTCTTCTATTTATCCACAGGTATACTACATTAAAGTAGCCCCCCTTCCAAAAGTATTACAAACTAGACTGACTCCATCTGTGCTTTTTGTCACAAATAGTCTAAAACATCAAAAAGTTCTTCTGCCTGTACTAAGACTTTATGTTAACACCAAAAATAATAAAGAGCTATACAATTCGTTTTGAAATTCTGCACATTGTTCTTCTTGCCCTCAAACATCTTTGATTCCTTTCTTTCCACATTGTCCACCATATACAAGCTGGGACAATCCTCCATCTCTCCTCCTTAATTGTAGTATTGCCAATATTGATCCAACAATTTAGGAGTTGTACTATGTTTCTTGGTTTCACCCAAGTGATCTTTCTAAGGCTGCTGAATATTCTCCATAATTGATCTGTCCATTTGCAATGCAAAAAGAGATGGTTAACTATCTCTGCCTGTTCCTCACACAAATAGCATCTTGAGCATAGTTGGAACTTCCTCTTCTTTATATTCTCTTGTGTCAGCACTGCTTCCTTTGCTAGTAACCATGTGAAACAGTTTACTTTGTATGGGATTTTAGGTCTCCATATCATCCGCCATGGACATAGCTCCATCCTATCATTTGAATTTGATTGATTAAGGTCTTTGTAAGCTGACTTGACACTGAAAACCCTTTTGCTACCAATCTTCCACACAACCTTGTCTTCTTCCTTAGTCAAATTGCTAAATTGTGCCATTGTATCATGGAAGGCCACTATGTTCCCCATCTCCCAATCATTTAGATTCCTCCTAAGATGTAAGTTACATCCCTGTCCTGTCCACATGTCAGCCACAGTTGCATTTTGTTGAAGGCTTAGTGTATATAAGTCTGGGAATAATTGGTTTCAGGGTTCTTTGGGCTATCCATCTGTCCTCCCAAAATGACACCTTCATTCCATTACCCACCTAGAATCTGATTCTAGAAAGAAACAAAGGCCAAAGATTTCTTATTGATCTCCAGATACCACATCCATATGGTGTAGTTACCATCTTTGTCATCCACTTATCAATTTAGATATGATTTTGTATACCACTCCTATTAAATTGATTGGTCTGAATCTTTCAACTCCATTGCGCCAAGCTTCTTTGGAATTAATGCTATGAAAGTGGCATTGAAGGACTTCTCTAAAACACTCCATTGATGGAAATTTTGAATGGTCCGCATCAGCTCCTCTTTTAGTATCCAGCATATTTTGAAGAAAGCCATAGTAAATCCATGAGGTCCAGGTGCCTTATCTCCATCACACTGCTTGATGATCTATAGCACCTCTGTCTCTATAAATGGTCTTTGGAGCCACTCATTTTCTTCCACACAGATTGTAAGACATCCTTCTAGGTTAAAAGGTCTCCATAGTTCAGATTGTGAGTAAAAATTGGAAAAGAACTCTATTATTGCCTCTTTGATTTCTTTGGGTTCCTGTACCTCCTCACCTCTTACCATGATTTTGTCGATAGTATTGTATCTCCTATGAATTGTAGGCATTCTTCGGAAAAATCTAGTGTTTTTATCTCCTTGCTTCAACCAAAGGGTTCTAGACTTTTGCCTCCAGTTAGCTTCTTCTTCTTTAGCCAGAACTTCTAGCTCCACTAGTATTGTAACCCTTATTGTCACTTCATCAACAAAAAAAAAAAACGTATCCTCTTGAATTTTGTCAAGCTCAAAAAGTTCCTCCAGGAGATTGTTTTTCCTGTTGGCTAGGTAAGCAAAAAGTCTTCTTAGTCCATTCTTTTAGCTTTTTCTTTGGCATTTTGAGCTTGGCCCCTAATTTGTAATCAAGGCACGCATCAACAACAAAGCTACTTCACCAGTCCTGTACCATATCCTTAAATCCCTCCACCTTGAGCCACCAATTTTCGAATTTGAAATAAGGTTGTCTCTGTTCCCAGTGTTCACATTCAAGAATTATAGGACATTGATCAGAAGCTACTCTTGGAAGAATTCTCAGTCTGATGCTTTTGAAGTTCTCCTCCCATTCCATAGAATACAAAAAACTGTCCAACCTAGCAGCAGTTTGGTGATTAATCCCCCTAAAACAAGTGTAACTCCTACCCATCGAAGTTGGATCTTTAAGTTCTAGCTCCTCTATCCAACTGGAGAATTCAAGCATATGTTAGTGAGTCTGTTGCATCCACTTCTCTCTACCATATGTCTAAACAAAGTCCCCCCCCCCCTCCCCCTCGTAACCAAGTGATCATCACATATTGACTTCATAGCTTCTACTTCTTCCAATAAAGAACCAGCAAAAAGAGTTAAGAACTGACTCGAATCTAGAAGTGATCGAGAAGTTGCCTTCCTCAACCTTTGATCCCTTCCACACTTTGTTGTCCCACATAATTAGTATACCCCCTTTGCTTCCATCCGCTTCTATAAATCCACATTGCATCCATCTAGACGACCACAGTTGATATGCCACTTCCTCTACACTCTTATTAATTCTTGTTTCCTGAAGGCAGATTACATATGCTTACTATTTGTTTAAACACGTCTTAACAAGAGCTTTATTAGTCGAGTTGGTAAGACCTCTCACGTTCCATGACAGAATTTTGATCTTCATCTATATGTTAAGCTGAGAGTCTTCCCCCTTCTTCTTACCCCTTCTACCTCCTTGTTCAGGCTTGACCATAAGTTTTTCAACTCATTTTTGCCTATGCCTCAACTCTAAGGTGTCACATTTGCTTTCCTCATCTCCTTGTTGTCCAGTGCAACTTTTCTCTCGTCAATTCTCACGAGGAGAGACAAAGTTTTAGATTTGAAACCCTCAAAAGCTACTCCATAAGTATTGCTTGAATCTAGAATGTGGGAATTCACCCAGCTTGATGCCTCTGTTTCAACTGTTTCAAGATCTGCTGAGTTCTGAATTGCCACTGGTTCTGCCTCAAAAATCTGTTGTACTTGTATGTCTGTTCCATCCTTCTCAGTCTGATTCAGATTCTGCGATTTATTTTCAGTAGTTTGTGTCGTATCGCACTGCTGCATGTGTGAAACTTCTTCAGAAGGTGGTTCTTCCCTACTTTTGTTATTCTCCTTCATCTCAGTTTCTATCTCTCATGACTCAACAATTTCAAGGAACTAAATAGCTAAGTTTTTTACGGCTTCAAAATCTTTAAAAGAGGTCTGTGCATCATGCTTTTTTTCTTTTTGGTCATATTTGATGTAAAAGTTGTAGGGCTTGAGCTTTAACTTGATAAAAACTTTAGGCCCAATTTAAATTTTGAATGGACTCTAACTAGCCCCTTCATTTAATTTTGAATGATCCCCACTTGTCTCAACATGTGACTTGGCACATAGGTCTGACCTACCTCCCTTATTTTGACTTCTATAGGTATCATCGTACCTCTCCTTACCCATCGTGTTACTTTGAAAGAACTTTTGGGTAAAGACCATGGGGGATTTTTCTTTTCCCGTGGAATACCTCACCGGAATTTCAGCCTAGACCTGCATTTTGAAGATCATCCCATAACTTTCAACCATCACCTCTTTCAAAATATTGCGACCATCACCTTGGATCTTAATTCTTGCCCATTTAAGATGATTCCCTAGGTTGGTTTCCTCTGTTTCATCAACCCCCCCATAAAAATTGCCAATGGCTTTGAACACTCTTTGGGTCCACAGGTGGGGAGGAAGACCGATTATTTGGACCCAAGTAGCCTCGATTTCCTTCTTCTCCTATATCATTCATTCCTTAGGGTTCAACCATTGGAGTCTGATAGAAATTTTCATGTAATTCCAGTCACCCTCCATCACTTGATGTGTTGTAGCTTTGGAAGAGAATTCGAAAAGAAAGAGACCTCTCCCATCTCATAGACATAAGTCCATGTGCCAGCTTCCAAAGGTTATTAGCCCATCTTCTCACTTCAGTTAGGGTAGTTGTGGCATTAAATTCACCTACCAGACTCCTTTTTAAAACCTCGTTTTGATTTAGCAACGAGCCTTCAATGCTAATGATTCCTTCATCTTTCACTTCAACCCCTTTATAAGCTTCTATACCTTCTATGTTCCCTCATTTAGAGCTCCTGAGCATTTCTGCATAAGGAATTTTGTTGTCTGTTAGCCTATGTTCCTCTAGGTTGTTCTTCATCCTATGGCTGTTAATGAACCTTTCCGTTTTTCCTACAATCCCTGTCTACCCAGCATTGAATGTTGCCTCTGGGATAATGATGACGGATCTCCTTCCCCCTCTTCCATTTATAAGGCTTATGTACCTACCATATTTGTCAAAATTACGGGCACAAAAGATCTCTGCTAGAGGCTCTGTTTTCTTCCATCACCTAACAGTGTTTCCTCTTGTCCTGGATACCTCCTTCAGTGTTTTCACTATGCACTCCATCGCCTTCATGTTGAAGGAGGTTCTTACAATCGAGTTCTTGCTTCTTTCCGTCCATTCGCCAATTAAATATATGAATCAATTAACTAGGAAAAGAAAAATAAACATTTCTGGTAAGATTAAATAGAAGCGCCAAAAAAAATAAAAAATAACTGTTATAGAATGTATGTAGACTTAATCTTAGTAATATACATAGCTATATATAGGCAGCAGATTTAAAGGGATCACTGCAGATCTATAGGAATCACTCTTAATTTCTTTCCATAGTTAGCACCTTATGTATTGTATTTATTCACTGTTCACCTAATGGAATACGATAAGATCTTCCATTCAATTACATGGTATCGGAGCCTATAGGCTCGTGTCATTTTGGGTTTACGGAAGAAGTTTAGATTTCTATTCCACTGATTTAAAGTGGTCAGTCTACTATCACCACCACAGAAGGAGGCGGAGTATATTTTCCGGCCAAACCAGTCTTCACTGGCATCTGGTTGTGAAGAGAGTGGTTGTCACGCACCCCTCATATAGTTCTTTTGTTCATCACGCACCGGCACGTAACGGTGTGTGTCTGGCTAAATTGATTGGGTTTTAAATTTTTGGCATCGACACGTATTTCTTTCCTTAGTTAGCACATTATGTATTGTATTTATCCACTGTTCACCTATTGGAACAAGATAAGATCTTCCACTCAATTGCATTAACCAATATCAATTTTTAACCCACTTTTCAACTATGGCAAGCAACAATCTCTCTTTTAATGCCCCAAAAATTTTCACCGATGAAAACTAGCAAATTTGACTGGTGAGAATGAAATCATATTTTGAAACCTATGTTATATGGGATATCGTGATGGAAGAAAACTTTTTGCAACAACTCCTTGCAAGTCTATCATTGTACCAAAAAAAAAAGCACTTTCAAAAGAGCTTATAAACAAGACAAGATTATTGAGAATGTTTTTAAGCAAAAAATCAAAAGAAGAAAATTCGCAAGTTCAAAAACAATGAAAATAATTCAGCATCTACTGCCAAAGTCGAAATTGAGGAGGAGCATATTCTAAATTGCAATAATTAAAGCAAAGGAGAAGTGTTGAAATTCTTTTTCAGTTACTGAAGTAACTTTTTAGCATAATAAGTTACTTAGATTTAGGATAAGTAATTTATGGTTTGAATCAAGAAGGGATTCATATTCCTTTTTGATTAATTAGTTACTACAGTGTTAAAATCCATGAATTCTGGAAAGGAACTACAAGCAAATTTTTGTGGTGGATTCACAAAGAAGGGAAAGAACTATGATTCAAAGTTAAGTTTCACATTCAAGTGATTCGCCAATTAAATATATGAATCAATTAACTAGGAAAAGAAAAATAAACATTTCTGGTAAGATTAACTAGAAGCGCCAAAAAAAATAAAAAATAAAAATAAAACTAAAAATAAAATAAAATAAAATAAACAGAAGCGCCATGCAGAAATTCTTACTGATTCAATGTCTTCTCTCATGTGTCTAAGTTTTACATTAAAGATGCCCAACCACTCATCCATATCTTCAACACAGTTGGTGGCCGATTCAAGCCCATGCAAGACCTGGTAGGACCAAAAATTTAGGCACAGAAGCATACATTTATCTTTATTTAAAAAATGGAATGGTCGCCTCATCTTACTAAAGGCAAAATATGGAATGGTCACCTCATCTTACCCAAGGCAAGATATAAATGTTACACATAATCAAGTGTGAGAGCATACATATCGGGGAAATGGTAGTAAGTTGAATCTAAGGAACAGAGAACAAGACAAACTTTGCCTGCTATTGCTCTTGGCAGAGAAGAAGTTCATAAAGAACGAGCCAAAAGTCTTATCAAAGTAAAAGGTTATCAATTGTCATAAAGAGGAAAACTGTAGCAACTCCTGAAATAGAAACCAAACTCTTCTCTGCCACTAGCATCAAAGCAATAAGAACTCTTCACAAAAATAAATGGGTCACCTCATCTATTAATGGCTCATTCTCCAAAATGGCATGCACATTAGCAGCTTCCAAAGCTTGAAGCTCTCGCTTCAACCGCTCAGAGAATGCCTCAGCTTCACCAATACCCATTACATAACTGTTGAATTTGAAAACCAGAATCAGGAAATCAACCAAAATAGTGCAAGGGTGAAACAAAGGGTTGTCGATAAAAAAACAGCAACACAACTTAGTAGGAAACTTTAGATCAGGGAGAACACAGTACAGGGTGTGTTTGGCATGAAAGAAAACATTCCAGAAAATGTTTTCCAATTTTCCCATATTTGGTTGGTCAAAATATTTTCTCTAGAAAAACAAGTTCCTTAAAAATATGGATTCATTATCTCTACTCCACCCACCCCCTTCCCTCTCCTTAACCATCCCAATCCTTGCCACCCCAAAGCCTCTACTCCCCACCACATCCCACCCCCATAGTGTGTTGCCAGATAACATATAAATACTCTTGAGATAATATTTCTTTTGCTGACCTACCAAACATTACAAATTAAGAAAGAAACCCACTTATTTTTCAAGAAAACATTTTCCTCCTTACCAAACAAGTGTCTGCTAATAGTGCTGTCTACAACAACTTAGATTCTCCAACTAAGAAAACAATGATAGCCAACACGGTTATTTAGAATATTTTAATTGATTCTTTAAACCCCTATTGTGTAATATCAAACTCAACATTAGATGACTAATCAAGGTTGCAAAAAAGCATAACTACACTTGAAGTATATGGTCTTGTAAACATATAATAGATGAAGAGGTATTTTAAATAGGGAAAAGGGTTTGATATACCCCTCAACTTTGTCATTTAAAGTTGATATCTCACTCATTACAAAAGTGACTCACATATACCCCTACCATTATAAAAATGGACCACATATACCCCAACTGTTACATAAGTGGCTCACATACACCCTTTTTATTTAACAGAGTGAAACTTTTATGTTATATTTATTTTTTTGATTTGTTTAAAAAACCATGATATATGATCCTTTTCACACATGATTTTTTTTTACTTCTTTGGGTATCATTATTTGAATTTCTTATTCTTATTTTATTTTTTTCTTTTACTTTTTAGTATAAAAATATGAGAAATAGAAAGAAAGATGTGCGAATGAAAAAGAAGAAAAAAGTATGAAAAAAAAAATTCGAAACCAATTTTTTCGAATATGTTGTAATTTATTTTTTATATCCATAAAAAAAAATTGGGACATATATGAGAAAGTTAGTGAAAAAATAAATTTGACCATCAAAATAATAAATCTAAATTAGTCGTTGAATCCAAGAAGCCAAAAAATATGTGTGAGAAGGATCAAATATACCCCCTTCCATGAATATTATTTTTTTATAAAAAAAATTAAAAAATAAATTTAAAATTGATTTTTTTTTCACTTCAGAAAAAGGGTATATGTGAGTCATTTGTGTAACATAAGGGGTATATATGTGCCGATTTTATAGGGAGGGATATATCAGCTCTAAATGACAAAGTTGAAGAATATATCAGACCCTTTTCCCTTTTAAATATATAAAAGTAGATGATTCTTCAATTCTCCATAGCATGGAGAGTTCAAGGCATTGCGAGGTAATTTCTATCAGCAACTAGCTTGACTGATGCAAGATAAGCTCAGCAGTAAAGCAGCTTGCAGGTTAGAACAACCAAACTGTAGGTTCACTGTAGACACAAAATTCAGAAATTGTACTGGCATTTGAATTACTATGTTCATTTGTTAATTCAGCAAGAAGTTAACATAGACAGACCAATTGTAACCACAAGATTTCACACTAATTTTACAACTCTGAAGTCTTGCATTCATAGTCATATGCACACTTTGTAACCAAAACTTCAGTTGTTTGTACTCGACTCTGCTCTTCAGGAATTGTTTCCTAATTATTTCAAGACAAAACTGAACCTATCATAAACTTTAAATCTAGCAATTAATAAAGTGATTAGACATGGGATCGCTGCTTGTACACCATTAGGAATAAAGCACAAAAGAGACTGGAGGGGAATAGACACAAAACAAGGTAGAGAGTTATTTTTATTCAGAGTACTTCAAGACAGGTTTCAATCATTATTCCACTTAAAACTGTATGTTTTGTAAATCTACTCATCTAAAAGCAAGGAATCTGTCTTTTGAAGTAGGTAACACTCCTACCTACAGACCCTAATTCTATGATGCATGAGGATAAGTGCTTTTTTAAAGAAAAAAGAAGTGAGAATACTAGCCAGCTATGTTGCTCAGACTCTTCAAAGATGTCGACAGTTGCGTGTCAGATCCTCCAAAAGTAGTATATTTTTGGAGGATCCGACACGGGTGTGGCAAGAATGTTGGAGAGTCTGAACAACTTAGCTTGCCAGCTCCCTCCATGACATGATAAAGTCGTGGCAAGAGGTCAACTTAAGTAAAGCATACATAAGAAGTTTAGATTTCGAGCAAAAATCAGCACAATGCAATGTCAAGAGAAGTGGGAAAGAGGTTACATACGTGCCTAACAGAGCCTCCATGTCCTCTTCCTCTGCTTGAGATACCAGTTCTCTTTCAACAGTAACTGTCATCTCACCTTCTTCTGCTACAGCAGTGACCGGCCCATCTTGGGGATTAGCCTGTTGCTTGGTAATTGCTGGAGTATTTTCCTATATAAATTAGAATTACATAAAATGCATCAAGCAATCGCTTTTATTTTAGTTCCTGTTTACAAACATATCATGTAATTCATTGCAATGAATAACTATTTCTAATGTCAAAAAAAAGGTAAGTGTTTATGTTCAATTAAATAGTGAATGTGCATATGACCTGCAAAGACATTCTAACTAGAGAAACAAGTGACAACACTTCATTTATAATAATGAATGACTATTTGTTTTACCACTAGTTTCCTTCCTTAACCAGTAGAGTGTTTCCAACTGCATATTTTATAAGAGAACATTCATAAACGACTCTGGATGCTTAAGCAAGATTAATAGAGAGTTTCTTACATGTAAAACTGTTAGCGTGTTGGATAGACTCTAAATAGTTGTACATATCTATGTAATAGCTCTAAATATCTGTGTAATGATGGTGTCAATTGCTTTCTATATATAGGAGATATGAGGGATTAATGTAGCATATTTCTAGTGATATTATAATTAGGAATAGCAGATATTTAGGGGTGTGAATAGCAGATTTTTAGACATGTAAATCAAAGTTCTTTCTATTTAATGGAAGAACTCTCCATTTGAGAGAACTCATTCAACAAACTTGACATGGTATTAGAGCCTACTGGTTTGATTCTTCAAGTCATTCTTCAGTGATTCCTTTCAAGAAAAAAAAATATTTTTTTGAAAGTTTTGGTCTTCCTGACTATTTGTCAATAGTTAGTCCTACACATTTAGGGCTCTTGTGTATTCGAGAACATGACTTCACATCAATTTGAGTCCTTCAATGTTCGTTTCACCGGGAAGAATTATTCTGCCTGGGAGTTTCAGTTTCAACTATTTGTCACCGGAAAAGAATTATAGGGATATGGACGGAAGTGATCCTGCTCTAGTTGATTGTACGAAGTTACGATCAGTGGAAGGTTAAAGATGCTCGGATAACGACATGGATTTAATTGTCCTTAATCTCAGGCCATACAAGACTGCAAAAGCCATGTGGGATCATTTATAAAAGGTTTACAATCAAGAGAATAGTGCAAGACGCTTTCAGCTAGAGCATGAAATTGCTAATTACTCTCAAGGAGGTCTCTCTGTTCAGGATTATTTTTCTAGATTTCAGACCTTGTGGGCTGAATTTACTGATATTGTTTATGCTAAAATACTTGCTGAATCTCTATCTCTAATTCAAGCATTTCATGAGCAAAGCAAGAGAGACAATTTTTTTATGAAATTGCGATTTGAATTTGAGTGTTCGCTCTAACTTGATGAATCGTGATCCGTCTCCTCCCTGGATATCTATTTCAGGGAATTATTTCGTGAAGAGCAGCATCTTTTCACACAAAACGCTTCCAAGCAAGAAAACATTAACACTGTTGCATTTGCTGCTCAGGGAAAAGGAAGGGGAATGGATATGAGCCGAACTCAATGCTATAGTTGCAAAGAATATGGCCATATTGCTAGCAATTATGGTAAGAAGTTTTGTAATTATTGTAAGCAACATGGGCATATCATCCAGGAGTGTCCCACACGTCCTCAAAATCGCAGGATCAATGTCTTTCAAGCAGGGATAAATGGTCCAACTTCTGATAGCTCATTTCATTGGGAAGTAACAATTAATTTGCTACTCCAGCAGCTGGACAAGTTCTTATTCCTGAAATGGTACAACAAATGATTGTGTCAGCCTTTTCAACTTTAGGGATACAAGGTAACGATACTACATCTTATTTTTGTTTGTTGATTCTGGTGCGTCCAATCATATGACTAACTCAGCTAGTGTGCTAAAAAATGTTCATGAGCATCATGGTCCCTCACCAATTCAGAATGCCACTGGTAGTACTTTACCCATTACCAAGGTTGGGGATATTACTCAAACTTTCAAGAATGTTTTTGTATCATCAAAGCTCTCAACTAGTCTTACTTTAGTTGGTCAATTGGTAGACAACAATTGTGATGTGAATTTTTCACGTAATGGTTGCCTTGTGCAGGATAAGGTGTCGGGGATGATTCGCGAAGGGGCCTAAAGTTGGGAGATTGTTTCCTATACACTTTTCCATTTTCCTCATGGTCTCTCTTTTGCTTGTACTTCTACAACTAGTAAGACTGAGTTTTGGCATAAACATCTAGGACATCCAAATTCTATTGTGTTATCTCATTTATCAAATTCTGGTTTATTGGGAAATAAAAAATAATTTTCAGTTTCTTCTTTTGATTGTTCTACTTGTAAATTAGACAAAAGTATAACTCTTCCTTTTCCTAATTTTGGTAGTTATGTTGCAAAGTGTTCTGATCTCATTCATAGTGATGTTTGGGGCATTTCACCAATTGTTTCTCATACTCATTTCAAGTACTTCGTGACATTCTGAGATGATTATAGTCTGTTTACATGGGTGTATTTTCTCCGTTCCAAATCTGAGGTATTTTCCATGTTCCAGAAATTTTTGGCTTATATTGAAACACAATTTTCCACCTCTATCAAAATATTAAGATCTGATTCTGGTGAAGAATATATGTCTCATGAATTCAATAATTTCTCGCTTGAGAAAGGAATCATCTCACAATGCTCTTGTGCATATACACCACAACAAAATAGGTTGTTGAGCGTAAAAATCATCACCTTTTAGATGTCAATCATACTTTATTGATTCAGTCATTTATCCCGTCTAAATACTAGGTGGAAGCTTTGTCTAGTGTTGTATATTTGATTAATAGACTGCCATCTAAAGTATTAAATCTTGAGTCTCTATATTATCGTCTTTATCACAAAAATCCTAGTTATCATAATTTTCATATATTTGGTTGTATTTGTTTTGTGCATTTACCTCCTTCTCAACGCAATAAATTTTATGTTCAGTCTACTAAATGTGCTTTTATGGGTTATAGTACTTCGTGGAAAGGTTTTATTTGCTACGATTCAAGTTCTAATAAGTTTCATGTTTCCAGAAATGTTGTTTTCTTTGAGAATCAGTATTTCTTTCCTACTCATGTTGAGTCATCTTCTATCTCTCCTGCTCTTCCATTTTTGAGGATTTGTCATCATCTTCTAAGCTGTTCAAACCTGGATTTGTATATGAAAGACGTCGACCAACTTTACCCCTTCCCGAAACAGATTTGCCACTTGAGACTGCTCCACAACCAGAATCTGAGATTTTTTCAAGGCTTTCTCCTCTTATGCCTCCTCGCCGATCAACTAGCATATCTCGTAGCCCTAACTTGTATGGTTTTTCTTCTACTTTATCCACCATCTCTATTCCAACAGGTTACTCAAAAGTCTCCAAGCTTGAATGTTGGCAAAAAGCAATGGAGGAAGAACTTTTGGGTCTTAAAGAAAATAACACATGGGATATTGTTATTTGTCCTTTGAATGTCCGTCCAATTGGATGCAAATGGGTTTATTCAATTAAACTTCATTCTGATGGAACTCTTGATCAGTACAAAGCTCAATTGGTGGTCCTTGTTAACAAACAAGCATAGGTATGGACTATGTGGAGATTTTTGCACCGGTAGAAAAAATGACTACAATGCGAACTATTATTGCCATAACTGCGTCAAAAAAATGGCATGTTCATCAAATAGATGTCAAAAATGTTTTTCTTCATGGTGATCTCAAAGAAGATATTTATATGAAACCCTCTTCTGGTTTGTTCTCATCACCTACATCAGATGTATGTAAGTTGAAGTAGTCTTTGTATGGATTAAAACAAGCTCCTAGAGCTTGGTTTGACAAGTTTCGGTCTACTTTGCTTTAATTCTCTTTTGAGGAGAGCAAATATGATTCATCTTTGTTTCTTCAAAAAACATCAATTTTTTTGGTGTTTGTAGATGATATTATTATCACAGGAACTGATTCTTCACTAATTGCTATCCTCCAACCATAGCTTAAGGATTACTTTCATATAAAGATTTTGGTACTCTTACATACTTTTTGGGGTTAGAAGTTCATTATGATTCTTTAGGTGTGTTCTTGAACCAGCACAAATATACTCAAGATTTGATTGTTTTGGTTGGTCTTCAAGAATCTTCCTTTGTAGATACTCCATTGGAATTGAATGTAAAGTATCATCGTGCGGAAGGAGATCTTCTTCCTGATCCAACTTTGTATCAACAACTAGTTGGGAGTCAAAATTATCTTATTATTACTCTGCCTGATATCTCTTTTGCATTTTAACAAGTGAGTCAATATATGCAGGCTCTTTGCCATCTACATTTGGTGGTTATTCGTCGTATTATTCGATATCCCTTGGGAAGATCTACTAGTGGATTATTCTTTCCTAGTAGTTCTCTGATTCAGCTTACTGCATTCAATGATTCTGATTGGGCTGGATGTCCTGATACTCATTGTTCTGTCACGAGTTGGTGTATGTTTCTTGGAGATTCCTTGATATCTTGGATGAGCAAGAAGCAAGACCGTGTTTCAAAATCTTCAACAGAATCTGAGTCGCGCTGCTTGCTCAGAGATTGTTTGGCTTCGTGGTTTACTTGCAGAAATTGGATTTCCTCAATCTAGTCCCACTCCTCTCCATTCTGGCAACATAATCCGATTTATCATGAAAGGACCAAACACATAGAAGTGGATTGTCATTCTATTAGAGAATTTGTAGATAAGAGGGCCATTACTCTTCCACATGTATCCAGTGATCTTCAAATAGCTGATGTTTATACAAAATCTTTGACACGACAACGTCATTAGCTTTTGGTAGGCAAATTGATGTTTTTTTAATTCACCGACATCAATTTGAGGGGGGATGTTAGTATGTTGGATAGATTCTAAATAGTTGTACATATCTATGTAATAGCTCTAAATATTTGTGTAATGATTGTGTCAATTGATTTCCATATATAGGAGATATGAGGGATTCATGTAGCATATTTTTAGTGATATTATAATTAGGAATAGCAAATATTTAGGGGTGTGAATAGCAGATTTTTAGGCATGTAAATCAAAATTCTTTCTATTTAATGGAAGAACTCTCCATTTGAGAGGACTCATTCAGCAAACTTGATAAAAACTACTAACAGGCAAAAATTGTAACATTAGAACTTTAAAGGGCAGAACATGCAAAAGGTTGTTCCAAGTGTAGTGACCTTTCGGAAAGACTTTCCCATCAATTTCACTTAAAAGAACTTCTTCTTTAGATAAGAATCTCAACTTTAACAGACACATTTGTGATCTTCCTTCCACAGATATAAGGCACAAAAGTAAAAGATAACTAGCTCTATCAATTGAGAAGGAATTGATGGAGGAGAGATTGGATAAATTGAGGAGGAATTTCCTCTGGTTGGGTAACAAGGAAGGAAAGGGTATTCACCTTGCAACTCAGTAAGAAATCTGGTGAGCTGGGTGTTCAGAATTTAGGGCTGCAAAACATATGTCTATTATCAAAATGGTTGTGGAGGTTTGGTAAAGAGGATCATGCTCTTTGGGAGGATGTTATCATTAGCAAATATGAACGGACTAAGCAATGGACAACCAATACTGTGACTAACACATATGGGGTCTCAGTTTGGAGGACTATCAGAAATTTGTGGCCTAAATTGTCTGGGAGCATAAGTTATAAGGTGGGTGAAGGGACTAGAATTCTATTCTGGAAATACAAATAGATCGGCCAGAACTCACTCATGGAAGATTTTCCAGATTTATTTTCTTTCTGTGACAACCCTGAAGCATCTATTGCTGAGACCTACACTAACCAAGGATGGAATATCATCTTTAGGAGGCTTCTAAATGACTGGAGGAGAGAGTGGCCAACTTACTCCAAAGATTGAATGATTCTCTGATTTAAATACCAGCCCTACTACTATAAGATTGAGACATGATAGGGAGGGAAAATTTTCAGTTGGAAGATTGCACTGAAGAAATTTGTCCTCACAGCCTGGAACATCCATGGACCTTGGAAAAAAATATGGAAATCTAATATCCCTACCAAGATCAAGTGTTTCACATGGCAGGTATGTAGAAGAGCATGTCTGACTAGGGAGAAACTGAAAAAGAGAGGTTTTGAGATTGTCTCAAGGTACTTCTTTTGCTATGAAAAGGAGGAAACAAATAGTCATATGCTTCTTCATTGTAGAGTGACTTCTCAGGTGTGGCATATGTTTCTCAATCTCCTCCAAAAACCATGGATGATGCCTGAGCATACGGCAGATCTTCTAACCTGCTGGATGAGGAGAGGTGGGAGTAAAAAACGGAAAAAAGGGTGGAGCCTAGTCCCTTCTTACATATGGTGGTCAGTCTGGAGGGAAAGAAATAAAGATGTTTTGAGAATATTACTTATCCAATGCATAAAGTAAAAGAAAACTGCATTAATACTTATATTTTTGGTGTAAAGAAGAGGGTATAGATGAGGTAGAACAGCTAGCAAACTTCCTAGGCTCTGTAATTACGATTACTTGCATTGTAATTTTTTTGATGGTTGACACCATACCCACATTGCTAAGGAATACAACTTTACCTTGCTCAAAAAAAGAAGAAGAGATAACTAGCTCTATCAAATATGTAATTGATAATATAGATTAGAAGAAGAAAAATTGACACTAATTGAGTCCATCTTCAGAAACTAGACAATACATTTGTATACTTTATCAGATAATGGGAATGATCTTATTTTCTCACATCAAACGAAGAAACAACATGAATGACTATATTATCTTAAGAGCAACCTTATCACTTCATTCACATGCCTGTTGTGCAGTTAAAATCAGGGGGGAAGGGGGAGAGGGGGGAGGGGAGATACAACACTAAATTAACAAAAGTGGAAACATTAGGGATTTTAAGAGGAAGACAAGAGGCAATAAGTTGATCAATGCCACCACCTAGGCTTCTCTGGTTCATGGACAGGCCAAAGTGGGATTGAACTTTTAGTCATATAATCATGGAATTGGGAATAAATAAAAATATTGGTATCTCAAGTTTTGTATATGCAGAATTGAAGGTGGGATTGAAGATTTCTGGAAAACATATACTTTTGGAGGCAAAGGTAACTGTGTATTCACAACAGAACTCATCGTCAAACAAATGATGAGAATAGGCCACTTACAATCTCATCAAAGCATAGGCCACTTACAATCTCATCAGAGCATAACAAAAACTACCCTATGGGAGATTACAAGTTTCCTATGAAATCAACAAAAAGTTCTATATCCCCCACCATAGGCAATTCATTCTAATCTTATGAATGTTGTTTCTCTTTCAAAAGCATCTTGCATTTTTTTCTTTCCACAAAGCCCACCAAATGCATGTTGGGATTAATTCCCATAAGTCTTCTCCAGATTCTTTTCTTCCTATCTCCTTCCAGCTATTCAGCAACTCCTTTGTGATTTTTGGCACTACCCAGCACACACCAAGAATGCATAAGAACATACTCCACAATTTGCAGTTGTTCTGCAATGAAGGAATAGATGCCCATTGAATCATGCATCTTGTTCACACATAAAATACCTTGTTAAAAAAAGCTCAAGTGGTGGTATTTCTGCTCCTCTCAGGCCATTCGTACCATTCCCCTAGCACTCCTTTAATTCTCTTGAGGTCAAAAGACTTGAACCTATCGCAAAGTAGATACCGTCCATTAGAGTAGAGGAAGGCTTAGAAAAGAGAAGGTTGGAGATGGAGATTCCCGGTGATCAGAAGGACCCTAGAAAGAAGAGATTTTGGTGGGTCTATTTCATTTCTTGGGAGTCATGTCTGGGAGAAGAAATTGCTAGTAGTTCAACCTATAGGCAAACATATACTTAGCTTGTGTGTATTATATATTGCATAACAATTAATTCTAAAATAATTTACATCATAAAGAAATTAATGCTTAGCAAGAAAACTATTTTTCTAATATACCAAATTAGGCGAAACTAACTAAAAAAATCCTTATGACATGGAGTAACTAAATGAAGCAAGTCAAGTTTCAAGCGAGGGCCTAGGCTATATGTTGGAAGATACTGGGCGGAACTTTTATATGTACCTTTGCCCAAAGAGCCATCTCTACCACATCTATGCCAACAACCTTGGGAAGACGACCAAGGACATCCTTACAGATGTTTAGGATGCAAAGCAAAAGGCGGTTCCTACAATTAGTTAAAAGAAAAGTGATTATACAGATAAAATAGAGAGTAGTCATTATTATAGAAATACCTATCGTCAACGTTACGCATTGTCCACTGAGGTGGAGTAACACTTTGACTTCTGAGATTATCGAAACCCTGTATGAAGAATAAGGTCCATATATTAGATGGACGTGGAATTGGAAAATAATTTAGGTTTGAGTATTACCAGCATGAATGTACAGCCACTTGGATCATTAGTTACGAGCTCGACCTTTGAAAGATGCTTAAGCTTGTACAACTTTGCAGGCTACATGTGGAAGCATAACATTATTGTGAGAGGTAGTTAGCACAAGTTCAGTTGGGTCCGTCTATCTATGAGGGTAAGTAAAATAATCCGGCAAGTTTAGAGTTTCCTTATACAGAACCAAATAAATGTTGCATAATTAGAACATTGTGAAATAATGTGGAGTAGTGAAAAAGTAAGTATTTACCTCAAGTACTCCACCATTAGAATATTTTAAGACACGAAGAAAAGCTTTAGTGCGTTGGCCTTTAGCTTTTGCTGCACAAAGCACATGTTATGAAGGAGAAAACTGTGAAATTACATGTAACAACACTGAAAAACAAAAGTTGAAAAGTCGTACTGGAGATTGCGAGAACTCTGGGTTTAGCCATAGCACCACGGCTCAATTTTCCGGCAATGCCTATGATGCCGCTGGTTTTGGCAACACGGATCGACATTACAACTTGTTGTTTTGTGCCTTCAATAGCCGCCTCGCAAGCTCTTCGTAGCTCCTCATCGTCCGCGCTCGATTTCGCCATCCTTGCAAAATGTCTAAAACATTAAAACCCGCAATTCAATAAAAGCACTCCATCAGGAGAAAAATGTGGACAAGTTTGTTACAATTAGTATTTTTTTATTTTTTTTTTATCCTTCACATCTTTTTTAACTTAGTGTACCCGTAATGTCTAAAGTTTATTATAATTGCTTCAAATATAGAGGAGGCCCATTCACGTGGGATTTGATAATAAGTTCCTCAACTTTGTCATTTAGAACGCATATATTCTTATTTTTAAAGTGGCTCATATATATCTCTATTGTTACACAAATGACTCACATATATCATTTTCCTCTAATGAAAGTGAAGAACATTTTTTTATTAAAAATTAATTCAAGGAGGGGTATATTTTATTCTTCTCACACATATTTTTTTTACTTTTTAAATTCTACGGCTAATTGAATTTATTATTTTGATTGTCAAAATTATTTTCTTCACTTATTTTCTTATAAATTTTATTATAGATGTCCTAAAAAAAATTACAGATATAAAAACTAAATTACAATATAGCCGAAAAAAATAGTTTTAATTTTTTTTTCTTTTTTTTCATTCATACTTCTTTCTTATTTCTCTTATTTTACACTGACAAATGATAGAAAAAATGAAATAAGAATAAGAAATTCAAATAATAATAATCAAAGAAGTCAAAAAATAATTTATGTGTGAAAAATATTAAATACATAAAAAAAATTAAATATTAAAAATAAAAAAATAATTTAAAATTAATTTTGTAACTTTAAGGACTCCATACAAGCCACTTAGCTTTTAACACATAAGAAATTAAACAATAAGAGTAAAACAATAGTCCAAGTCCAATAGTTTTATAAAAGAAAAGCGGAAGTCTAAAACACTTGTCTCACTATAGTCATCTAGTAAAATAGAATGAAATTGGGTCTAGCCCATACATCATGTCCAAAAGTGAAATATATGAAAGAAGGTGAAACAATGAACATCAGTCCTCAAAACATGAGGACTCACCAAAGCTCGGAAATCTCGAAATCAACCACTAGTCACGAAACTGAGAAACCTGACTGTCGGACCCTACATTTGGAGAAATGTAGGCAAGAGTATGCGTTAGTACAAAACAATGTAACAAGTATAACAGCTATGCATAAAACATTTAAAACATGGTAAAAAGGACATTTCATTTCATGGCATGCAATTGACCAAGCTAAACACATGATATAAAAAAGGGTTGGAAAACATAAGTCATGAAACCATGGCCAATGCAAGCTAACATCATTTAAAGTCTTTGAACACAATGAGATACTTCTTGAAGTAACCTTAGTTCATTATTAATGTGGGGAATTAATCTTAACCAACATATAGACCATGTGAGCTATAACATGATCCCCTAGTGTCTCCCACACTGAAAAGGGGTGTCCTACTTGCCAAGGTAAAGACCATAAATCTAAGCTAAAGTGGATCCACTAGCTAATGTTTATCTAGAAAATCATCTTATGGGGGTACATAGGTAAGGGATAAGAAGGTTGTTTCTAGAAACCCGGCATCTACTAACGGAAGAGCTTCCATCTCAATATTCTTTCGGTGCTAAGCATAAATCCCACAAATTAGTCATTTCTTCTTGTTCTTATTTTATCCATGGAAAGGCACATCACCTTGCCAATCCAAGCTAAGTCATCATCCATGGAAAGGTATCTTTCAATCACCAATCAAAGCTAGTTTCATTAGGATAACTCTTAATCTTTGACTCAATTAGGTGAGAAAAACTCTCAACCATAGAATCCTTATTATGTGAGAAAACCTTTCACATCTTACTTTTGTGCATATATGAGAATATCCTTTTAATAACGTAACAACAACATCACCTTTGATGCTTTACTCTCAAAGCATCTTTAAAACATTTGCATAGATTTCATAAGAAAATGCATAAGTCCCTAATTTACCTTTCAAGGCTCAAAACTCACTTTCAATCATCAACATTTAGAAAACATGGGTTAGATATGGAATTCATCATAAATTCATGTAAAGCTAGCAATACATGCTTAATTTCATAAAACTCTTCCCTTACAATCAAAATCCCACATCCATATTATTTATAACTTGAAAACATGGGAAAATATGAGTTCATGGGGAAATCATCATAAAATCATAGTATTTCATCAATTCATTCATAAGAGATCATAATTCAATCATTTAAATCAATAATCAAGAGAACTCGTGATAATTGAAGAAAACCCTAACTCAATTGGGGATTTCTAACTTTGAAAATAGAGGAATTTGGGAACTCCACGAATGGAAGGAATCCATGGATGAAAAATATCAAACCTCAAAGCCAAATGCTTATCTTCAATTGAGGAATTGAATGTTGACCTTGATCCTAGCTTGAACCCTTCTTCTTCTTCAAGTTTCTAGAGAGAGAAATATTTTGGAGATGAGAATTGATCTTTCTTTTGTGAATTAGGAAGAATGCCTGAATGACTTGAATTTGGGGTTAAAATACTTATATAGAGGTCTTAATGAAGGGTAAAACGACGTAGTATAGAAGTTAATTAATTATAAAAAGACTCAACTGCCCCTAGACTTAATTGTCGACCTCCCATCTACGGACTCTAGTCGATGGACCGTGGTCTGACCTACCGTCTGTCCTGGTGGACCATTGATGGAGGTCAGAAAGGGTTCTTGGGCCTCGAACCATGGACCGTGGTCGGGCCAATGGTCTGTTGGTCAGGCCGTGGTCCTGAGCTTTATGCTCTTCTCCTGCAGGGCCACCCACGGACCACACCTGCGATCTGTGGTCCCATCCACGGGTCGTGGGTGGTCCTCGTGGTTGCCACCTGCAGTTTTCTAAAGTCAGCCATAATGCCCTCTTTCGGATCCGAGGTGTTACATGTGTGAGCCTATTTTGTAACGATATGGGCATATGTGAGCCACTTTTGTAACGAGAGACATATCAACTCTAAGGCCTCATTTGTTTTCATTGAGATTAAGACGTTTGAATCTGAATGCACATCTGAATATTAAGATGTAGTTTCTAGGTCTAAACATTGAATCATTAATATTGTTTGTTTTCAATATTTGAATGTGCATAATTTATCTTTTTTTAAATTAGGAATTAAACAGTATATCAACAAAAGTTATAATCCGAAACTAAAATAACTTCTTCCAAAAAAGTCGTTTCAAGAATAAGACTATAAACCACCCCTCCCCCACCCAAAAAATGATTTGTTTGTCTTCTAAAACAATTTTTTCACAAGAAACAATGATGACTTCTTCCAAAGATGTTTTAACAGCCAAAAAATTGTGATAAGAAGAGTTCTTCATAAATATTAATTCGCCCAAGAATATTGTATATATTAAAAATACTAGTATACGTACCCGCGCGATGCGTGGTCATTTTACTCAAAACTTAAATTATTAAATAGTTTTACGATGAACAATCATTTTACTTAAAAATTGAATCATTAAATAGTTTTACAGTGCGCGGTTATATTACTTCAAAATTGAATCATTATATAATTTTACGCATTTAAAGATAACAACAAAAAATAAATATGATTTATGCGAAGTGTTTATTGGTCAAATAACATTATATTTTTTGCAATTCTTTATTGTCTAAATTATTGATAGCAATTTTTTGTATTATTTAATTTTGTTGCATTAGTTTTTAAACGAATTCTCAGTGAACATATTTTCATATTATCTCAATCACTCTTTTTGTAAATTATCTTCTATTGTGTATTTTAATTTTGTCATCATATAGAATTTAACATGTAATCGAAATAAGATTATATTAATTCATAGTGTTAAATTGAGATTTTGTATCCAAAATATAAGAAGAGATGTTCTCTTTTTTCAATTTTTTCGCTTATGAAAAAGCTATCGATACTTTTAAGGATTGTCTTTTTATATTATATGTGATAGCTAATACGAAAAAGGGTCAAAATTGCCCCTAAACTATGAGATATAGACCATTTATACCCTTCGTTATATTTTAGAATAAAAAATACCCCTGCCGTTATCCTAAGAAACCACAATTACCCTTAAGACTTAACATAAGTGATTTAGCAAGCCACATGGCACTAATTCCGCCACATAGGCCTGCCAACTAGGATACTCACTACAAAAATTTACCCAATTAATAATTCAACCCTAACCCATGAAAAAACAATCAAACAAATGAAGTCCTAATTCAACATTATATAAAACGGAGCAAGCTGAAAAACAGGGGAAGAAATCACCAATTTGTGATACTTTGTGACGAAATTAACAATTCCTCTAAATACTCAACACCCAAATCTTCAAACACCACAACATCTTTTCTTGTTCTGTTTCTTCTACTCACACTTTCTCCTCATTGAATATCTCTTCTTCAATTCATCAATCACCGGAGAACAATTCTCATCAAATCTACACTTAATTTCACTTAACGACTCCTTCACTATCTCCACAGGAAAATTAAGTATAGCCATCGAACCTCTCATAGCAAATGCAGCTTGATCATACGCTAACACAACTTCTTCAGCATTATCAAATGTACCTAGCCATACACAAACACCATTCCTCATAGAATCACGAATTTCAGTAGGAAATTTCCCCATTGCCTCTTTCTAACACCTCTGTAATTCTTTTCCTTTTCGCGATCTTCTTCATATGAGGTCACTTCCTCTTCCTTTATTCCATAGCTAGACGACGAGTTCACTGTTTCTAGCGATGATCCTTCAGCAACCACTACAAGAAAATATACATACGACGACATTATTTTGGTGACATTTGAAACAAATGTCGGAAAATAAAGAATTTCACGATATTTAAGAACAAAATGTCATAACACAATGACATTTGATGTCAAATGTCGTAAAAAAAATGACATTTGGTATCAAATATCGTAAAAATAATGACATTTGGTCCAAAATGTCACTATGATAATGACATTTATTGCAAAATGTCATTGTTTTTAGCGACATTTAGCGAAAATGTCATTTAAATGATGGCATTTGCTACAAATATTGAATATAATATGACATCTATTACAAAATGTCATTGGTTTCAGTAACATTTAGAAAAAATATCGCTTAAATAGTGACATTTAATATAAATGTCGAATATATTATGACATTTACTGCAAAATGTCATTGATTTTAGTGACATTTAGAAAAAATGTCACTAAAATAGTGACATTTGTTGTAAAATGTCATTGATTTTAGCGACTTTTAGCAAAACTGTTGCTAAAATAGCGACATTTAATACAAATGTCGAATATATTAAGACATTTATTGCAAAATGTCGTTGATTCGATCGACATATATATAGTGAAAATGTCACTAAAACAGTGACATTTTTATACAAATATCGAATATATTATGTCATATGTTGAAAAATGTCATTGATTTTTATGACATATGATGAAAAGTACTGTTAAACTCAGGGGTGGATCCACGTGAGTTCATGAACCCCCTCGGCAAAAGATTACACGGTATATATAAGGTAAATTTTATGTATTTCTGTAGATATATATATTTTGAACCCCCTCAATAACAAAGAGAAACTGATGGCGTAGTGGCAAGTCCCCCTGAAATTAAGTTGTATGTCAATGGTTCGAATCTTTGTGTAAGCATTTTATCTTTCTCTTTTTTTGTTTCAGTTTTTTGTAGTTTTTTTTTTTTAATTTCAGTTTGTTTTTCAAGTTTTTTTTAGGTTTTTTTTTACTTTAAAAAACGTGCTAAAAGTGTGGTTTTAAACCCAAAAGAATTCAAGGTTCCCATTTCTAAAGGCTTATTTACACGTTTATACTTTTATTTTTCGAACCCCCTAAAGGAAAATCCTGGGTCCGCCATTGGTTAAACCTATTATTAGTCGCTAATTACGGATATTTACACCTAATTTTTAAAAGGGCGGATTTTTTAAGTATACAAATTAACAATTGTATTTACACCAACATAGCAATACTTTTTTTTTCAATTATATAGCAATACTTTTTTTTTCAATTATATAGCAATACTTTTTTTTCAAAAGTATAATTTAAATTTAAAAAAAAAAAAGATTTTCCAAATCAGCCATGCTTATCCCACTTCCCATAAATTTCTCCAATAATTTTACCTTCCCTAATTTATTCAAATATGCTATATATTATCTCCCATAAAAAAAGGTTTCCTACCAAAAGCATAACTCCTTTCTCTGACTTGAAAAATCGGCCAAAAAAAAAATGATTATTGAAAAAAATGCATACCAATAATTTCTCAATTCTAATTCAACACAATGGGCGATGGGACTCGGCAGGTAATTATATAAAAAATAATTCTCATGATTTTTTATTTTGTGATTGAATTTTATTTTTCACAAATATCTATTTTGTACTTTTTGGTAGTTATTCGTTTTATATATTTTGTCAATTTTGGTGTAAATTAATTCATACAATTTGGTTGACGTTCGGGATCGGCAAAATTAATTCATACAATTTTGGTGTAATTTCAACAATTTCGTATGATTTTGTTGTACATTGATGTGTAAAATTTGTTTTTAGTTAAAGTTTATGTTTAATTGGTATGATGTGTTCCGTATGGTAGCAAATATTTTATATCAATAAGTTTTCAATATGTATTTCTGTATTTGTTTAGGTATTTGATCTGGTATAATTGTCACTAATAGCTGACACCAAACAAATAGCTTGATGCATGATTTGGTGTATTGTTTGGTCAAATTATAGTATCTTACTTATGAACGTATATTAAAGTGAGTGTAGTTATAAATAATTTGGTGTAATTGGTGGTGTCAAAAACTACAAGTTTGACGATCTATGGTATATAATTAGAACCTCGTAATAAATTTATGTTACATATTTTAGTGAATTTTAAGTATGTGAATTGGTGTAAATAATAATGTGCAAAATAGTTCGTACATTTACTGATGGTAACCTGATAAAATCATAAATTTTAAAAATTGTTTTAAGGGTATGTAATCTTTGACTGTTTTTTTTTACGTTTATTATATGGTTAAAATATTGGTAAATACTTTGGTATTTGTTTGACTGTTTTTTTAAGATAATTACATGGTTAAGTTTTTGGTAAATAATTTGGTATTTGTTTGACTGTTTTTTTAAGATAATTAAATGGTTAAATTTTTGGTAAATAATTTGGTATTCAATAAATGGCCTATATACCAACGAAAATCAATGTATGAACAAATCTAAATAAGTTGATGACTGTAGTAGGTAATTCTGAAAGTTCCTTTTAATATTAACAAAGAATTTGTTATTTTAAACAGGCAATTACGTGGATTACAATATTGAAGGAGTTATGTATGATCCAACCGCCAAATATGAAGGCTTGCTTACAGCTATAGCTTCACAATTGGGAGTGGACACAACAATTTATCATTTGGAACTAAGGTATTTCGTGAGTGGTCCATCTCCACCAATGAAGATACATAACGATACGGGAGTGCAAGTTTATTTAGATCAAAAGAGATGCAATTCAGATTTCTTTTCAAAATATCCTTTATGTGTGACATGTGTGGACAAAGCTATGGAATCCATTGAGTACCAAACAAATGTCCAAACAACGCGTCAACATATTGTGGGATCCAACACACTATGTTTGACTAACATGGATCCAATTTTGGAATGTTACATTGAAGAATCACAAGGAACGGAAATAATTGCAAATCCTCAACACTATTTGGTGGCCGAGGATCAAGTTTATATAAACAAGCAAACTATATCGGAAGTTATGAAGCGATATGCATTTCTAAGAGAGTTTTGTTTCGTTGCAAAAAGATCAAGTCCTACCTGGTGAGTTATTATATATGTTGATTTAAAAATTATCAATATATTTTAACAACTTACCATGTATTTAATGGATGAGTTTTTGCAGTTACTATCTAAAGTGTGCTACAGAAAACTGTTCATGGGTTTTTAAATCCTCATGTTTGAATAATTCAAAGTTATTCAAAGTGAGGAAATTCTATGATACACATTCATGTCCATTGAAGGACCGGATTCAATCAAAGCGACAATCAACAAGTGGTGTGCTTGGGGCAATGTTGGTTGAAAAGTATGTCGATCTGAAGACCGTTTACACACCAACAGACATACAAGCAGACATGCTAAGGATACATGGTATTTCATTAACATACATGCAAGCATGGAGAGGTAAAAAAAAAGCTTTCGAGACATTAAGAGGTGACCCTGCCGAATCATATGGAAAAATTCCAACATATCTATATATATTGGAGAAGACATATCCAGGGACAATTGTGAATTATAAAAAAGCAGATGAAAATCATTTTTTATATTCATTTACAGCACTTGATGCAAGTATAAGAGGCTGGGAGTATTGTCGACCAATAGTAGTCGTGGATGGTACACATTTAAAATCAACATACGAAGGCACAATGTTGATAGCTAGCACATTAGATCCAAGAGGTACTGTTTATACCATTACCGCAACTAGATTGATTTGTTTTTATATATAATCAATATATGTTGTATTTATTTTGAAGATATTTGTTGTATAGGTCACATCTTGCCGCTTGCATACGGAATAGTTGATTCAGAAAATGATGATTCATGGTTATGGTTCTTTGAGAATTTTAAAAATGCATTCGGTGAAAGGGAAGATATGTGCTTTGTTTCTGATAGAAATAAGAGCATTTGGAATGCTACTGCAGCTGTTTATCCCGAATTCAGACATTACGCATGCATATACCATATATGGACCAATTTACTAAAGAAAACATACAGAGATACATAAGAGGTTAGACCATTATTCTTCAGTTTAGCAAAAGCTTACACTGTTCAAGAGTTTGATGAATTGATGACAAAGATGGATCAAATTAATCCAAAATACCGTGCTTATCTACAAAATGCAAATTACGAGAAATGGTCATGCGCACATTCACCAGTAAAAAGGACTTGGACACTAACAAGTAACATTACAGAGTTACTAAATAACGCTATTCTTGTTGGAAGAAGGTTACCAGTGGTACCATTGTTGGAATTTGTTAGAAAAACAATTGAAGCTTGGAATGAGAAACACAACGAAGAAGGTAGAAATACTACAACAACCTTGACAAGTAAATACAATGAAATGTTAGAGGACAATAGAAATTTGTCTCATCGTATGCTTGTAAGTATTAACAATTCTCTACTATGCATATTATGTTTTGGTTTTATTATTGATAATGAATGCTCTTAAATGAAGGTACGCGCATCAACTGTAACACCCCGTATTCGAAACAGACGAAAATGCAGATTTTGAGAAGTTGCAGGTGCAACTTACAGTCACCATCCACGGACCGTAGGTCAGACCACGGCCCGTGCTGGTGGTCTGTGGTTCACCATGCAACCCCTCCCCAAACCAGCTCAGAAAAATTGGCTAAGTCCCGACTCACGGACAGACCCACGGTCTGTAGATTAGACCACGGTCCGTGTTCTGTGTCTGTGGATCGAGACTTCCCTTACCAGCCTCTGATACAAACTACGGTCGACCAGCACGGACCGTCATTCGATCCACGGTCCGTAGGTGAGGATCAGCAACCAGTTAGCTGAAAATTGTTGATGGATCAACTTCAAATGGTCATAACTCTTAGCACAAAATGAATTATGTGTACCATGACATATGGTTAGATAGATAATTGAATTATCTTTCCAACGCCACCAAGTTTGCTAAATTCCGACCTTCGAGTAAAAAGTTATTCTCGTTTTAGTGAAGCCCTGTCGGGCAGACTCGACCTACGGACCCAATCGACGAACCGTCGATCCAGTCCGTCAGTCACTCCGACAACAGTTAATTCAGGAGTCTTTTGGTCTTTTCCTTTTTCGTTTAACCCCTAAGATACGTCGTTTAGACCCTAAATCATGAGATTTTAATCAGTTTAAGCCTAGAAACATAACTAGAACTTACCTAAGTCAAATCATTAATCCAACTTAGAAGAATTAGAACGCTAAAAGGAGAAGAGAAGTCAAGAACCCTAGTTCAAGAACGCAGCGAGGTTTCTTCTGTTCCAGCCCAGAATCAAAGGATTTCTCCATGGAATTCGTCACCAGGTATGTGGGATTTCACTAGTGGGTTCCTTTCGCCCATTAGGTCCCTAGAATTCAGTCAGATTCTTGATTCTATGATTATGAACAGACCTAGGGTTTCTAGAATTATAGCAGATCATCATGAATTAGTTATTTAAATGTTCCAAATCAGATTATCATGTTATTGCTCAGTTTATCGTATGAATTTCAGAACCCTAGCTATGTATTTCTTTAGTTCTTGAATTACACATGCTATGTCAGATATTTCAGTATTCAGTTTTACATGCCTCAGTTTATGAATGCATCATTATCAGATTAATTGTTGCATTCTCAGTTTGCATGTTCAGTTTCGAGCTATCCAGTATTTACATAAACTCAATCATGATGTGTTAACCACTTAATATATTGGGAGTAGCATAATACCGAGTTGGACTAGGGTTTCAGCGTACCCATATAGTCCCAGAACTACGAGCCACGTAGGTGTAAGTCCCCTCTATGGGCAACATCAGTTTAGTGATCACGCCAGCATACCTCTATACCTCTGGCAAGGTATATTGGGTCCTCTCGATGGGCGTATACATTGGACTCCACATTTAGCTCATGTGATTTTATGTCGGTTATTAGTAGCTCCCACAGTTTAGTCAGACTCTATTGCATTGACCATATTTCAGTACAGTCAGTATTCAGTCTCAGCATGTTATAAATTTGGTCATTTCATCAGTTAGCTCAGTATTCAGTATTTTCAGTATCTATATCATGTTCAGATTATTTCATTGCTTTATTGCTTTGTTCAGTTATATGTTATTTCAGTTTTACTCTATCCTGCATGCTTAGTACCTTTCAAGTACTGACGCATACGTGCGCTACATCTTCTCGTGATGTAAGTTCAGGTTCTCAGCATCCAGATCACGCTTAGATCGATTCCCGATCTTCAGTTCAGCAGCATCAGTGGTGAGTCCTCATTTTTCGAGGACTAGTGACATGTTTACTTTATCGCTTTTAGTCTTTAGTTTCAGTTTTGCTAGATCTAGTTGGGGCATGTCCTAACATTTCTAGTCAGTTTAGAGGCTTATTTCAGACATAGTTAGATTCAGCTTAGTGTTTTGAGTTTGATATTTCTTTTGTATTAAACTCTCAGATTTGATATATTCAGTTATAGTATATGGGTATTCCCCATCTTTTCATATTTATTTATGAATTAGCTTCCGCATCAGTTTATTATCTTTAGTATGCTCATGATCATGCCAGCAGGGTTAGCTTGGGATCACTTGTGGTCCTAGGTCCCGTGTCCGCGTCTTGACAAACTTGGTATCAGAGCATTAGGTTTAAGTGTCCTAGGATGTCTGAAAAGCCTATAACATCCGACAATTTAAAATGAATATGAAGAAGCTTGAAATTGGAAGTAGTCATTTTTGGAAAAAAATTCAGAATCTGGAAATTCGGCCAAGTGTGGAAATCAGTGAGTTTTTGGCCAACTTTGAGCAGTCATAACTCCTAGCTCAGGATGATCCAGGAGTAGTTCCAGTTATGTTTGGAAAGCCCTTGGAACGATCTTTCCAACGCCACCGAGTTTGCTCGATTCCGAGTTCGTATGAGCGAGTTATGCCTTTTGAAAGTTGGGCAGTTGGCAGGGAGTCCGTTCGGAAATTTAAGGGCATTTTGGTCTTTTCACAAATCATTTCTTTTGAGGTTATATTGTTGTGTTAGGCTGATTGTGGATCTTTTTTGTTCCATTTTAAAAGAGTAAGAGTTAGGGTTCTTGAGTGAAGAAGAGAAGAAGAGAGAAAGAAGAGAAGAAGAAAAAGAAGTGGGAGCTAGGGTTGTGGATGCAAGACGTTTTCTTCATCAAATTTCTTGGGGAATCTTAGTAAAGGTATGGGAGTTCTTTATCTAGGGCAAGCTATCACCCTAGAGCCAATTTCAAATTGTTTTCAACTTTTCCAAAGTTTGTGAATAAGCCTAATTTCTACTCAAACTCATGGGTTCTTGCATGAAATGATTTCAAATGATAAGTTATGATATTATTGATATTTATTTGATGTCTTAAGATGAAAAAATCCATGAATCCTTGTATTCTACAAAACCCCAAAATGTGTTTATGAAGTGGGTCTATTTCTATAAATTCAAAGTTGATGGAATTATGTGTAAAGTGAATTGTATTGATATATCTTGTGTTGTTTAATGTTTATTCATGATTAATTGTTGATAATGGGTTAATTAAGGGTGGTAAGCCTTATGAGTGAAGTATTGGTGATTGCTTGGATTTTTGGTGATTTTGGCTATGGCTTTGAATTATGGTAAGAAAGCTTGAACTCTCTTTATTGAATTAATTGTTGTTGGTAGGTTGAATCCACCTTTGGTGGAAGTGTTATATCTTGTTCTTGTGTGGTATTATTGTGAATTGTAGCCATGAAGGCATTGGGGAAGTTGTTGCATAATGTTGGAATATTGTATTATTGTGAATTGAGGCCATGAAGGGCATTATATGAGTGTTATTGTATTGTTATATTATTATATATGAATGAGGCTATATGTAAAGTCGTATATGAAGCTATATGTAAAGTTTTATGTGAAGCTATATGTGAAGCTATGATGTGAATGAGTTTTATGTGAAGCTATATGTGAAGGTATGATGTGAATGAGTTTTATGTGATCTTGTGATGATCTTATGTAAAGTGGATAGCATTGTGAGTTAAAGTATGATTTCTCATGATGTATCTATGAAATGATGTTGGATTATGAAGTATCCTTAAATGAAAATGTTGTGACTTAGTTGGTAGACTAAAGTGTCCCTCCTTGTTACTTAAAGTCTTGAATGCATGAATGTGTGAAATGGGCAGAATTAAGAAATGGTGCCCTTTCTATAAATGCTAAAAGAGGAATTCTAGGCCAAGACTTAAATCGGAAAAACTAAGAAATGGTGCCCTTTCATAAGTCTAGCTTTCCTAAGTAAATGTAAAACCATGAAATCGGTAGACCTAATGGTGGTAGCCCTTCTCATGTGTGAAATGATGAACCTTGGACCGGCAGGCTTAAGGCACCCTTAATGAAAAATCGGTAGGCCTAAGGCACCCTTCCAGGGGAATTTAATGAGCTATCCTTATGAACCTTGATTGGCCATGACTAAGAAATGGGGCCTTTCTTGGGAAGAGGTACTATGAGTTGGTTGAACTAGAAAAAGAACCTTCTCTAAGTACATATGTGATTGAATACTCTATGGAAAACAAGGCTAGCACCGAGTGTATGTGGTTAGGAAGGTGGCCTAGTTGAGTATGAGATTAGGCACAATGAACTTCCTTGGACATCCCCTAAACCATGTGCCTACATGGGTTGCTTACTAGTTCTACCTTTAGCAAGTAGAACAACCTCCACGGAGTAGGATAGACTCCGGATTCCATACCTAACTAGTATGGTCTATGTCGGTTATGCCTATTCCCATCATGTGGGATGCACACTCTAGTTATTGGATAGGTTCTACAACGTGTAGGTAGTAGTATGGGATGTTATCTACACATGGCACGAGTAGGCTTTGAAGATACTAAAGTGAGTTCCCTAAGTCTAACGACTATTATGTGAAAGTCCCCTTATGTGCTTGAATGTCTCCAAAAATGGTTTCTTAAAGAATGTTGGTCTATTGATGTTATGTTGTAAAGGAAATGTCCTTATCTAAGGTAATCTTGAGGAACACTTAAGTGTGCTTGAAGAGGTTGTATGGGCGGTTACTTCTTG